TGACACTCGTGAATCATCTAAGAAATGATAACTAGTGTGAAATGATGAGTGTGAAAGTGTCTCAAAAACCCATGAGACTCAAGCATTGGCGTAATAAATATTATTATGGCCTAATATGGTTACGGGCCTAGATATAGTAGCCATCACTTGTGCTTCTAAAGCTTGGATAACCTGCTATGCAAATACACTTTGTTTGAGGAATATGGAAAGTTGTGTGATGAGAGTGACAGCCTGCGTTGGTCCCTTTTCGCGTTCTTCCAGGAAAAAGCTAATCGAAAATGATGTCACAGAAGCCTTCAAGAATGCAATACAAATCACGCTGTCGGCCATAGATGGCATAATAAAGAGATGCAAGGTCGTAATGAAAGTTCTGGATAAGATCCCTGCTTCCCGAAAAAAAAAAACGAAAGTGCATGAGAAATGCAGTGGTTCAACAATTTTTTCTTGCTATAAAAATGCGAAGCCTCTTTGAAGCAACGGCTACCACGCCAAACTCCCGAAGGGCCAATGTCACTTTCATCATAGCAGTATCAGCGAGTACGGTTGTAATACATCGCTCCATCTCTGAACGGCCTGTCGACGTGAGAGTTTTCCTAGAATACCTGGAAAATCTCTTGAAAGTACTTGAGCAGCCAGTCACTGTATTGGACAATGTGTTCTTTCACAGCAATGGCCGGGCCCAATGTGTCATTAAAAGTTGCGGCCTTGTGTTGCTGCTTCAGCCACCATATTCACACTTCTTGAATGCTATTGATGAGATTTTCCATCTCATTAAGGTATCTATACTTGAAAAATCTAAAACTTCTTATTTTCACAATTAAGGAGAGAACTGATAACAACCATTCTCATACATGCCCAATAGCTACGTTAAATTTTCATACATTAAGGGGCATATAAGGAGATCCCATCCAATGAAAAGACGTAAACTGTTTTAAGGCCTCAAAGAGGGAATGAAAAATACCACCAGGTCACATTGTACAGCAGCTGATTGTCATTCCAAGGAGTTTTCATCATTATTCATGCCTCCACAAGAGACATCAGAAATCATCCTTAAGGTGGCACAGAGAACGACGTTGGAGAGCAATTGAGTGATGGATGACTAGAGCTTTGGACCCACTTTCACTTATTAAAGACCTCCATCCATGAAAATCTCTTGCTCATGAAGTCCGTAGTCCAGCTACAGAGAGAAGAGAGAGAGAGACATTGACATTGACACTCATTGTGTTCTTGCAAGCACTTATAGTCAGGGCTGTCTGGGGGAGGGGGCAATCTGCCATGGGTCCTGTGTATCAAGGGGCCTCAAGGGATCTCCCAGTTAGTTTTGCCCTGGGCCCCTGGAAACATCTGGGCGGCCCTGCCTCTTGTTACTTGTCTTTGCCATGACCACTGACACCAGATGGTACAGTTTCAGCCTGAGTCTATGTGAATTCCAGCAACGTTTTGGATTTTTATATTATATTGGCCACACTTTCTATTTAAGCAGGCAGTGCGTCTGCCGTATTCAAATGGATCTTGAGACTTGACACACTTACACCTCTACTTTTCCACTTATTGCCAAACTTAGAACGTCATTAGTAGTTATGATAACATACATCTACAAGATTTCTCTCAATTCATTGTAGGCAACAGCGCCATGGAAAGGGGGTGGGGGTTAAAGTCAATTCGGAAAGAGTGTATGTGGATGCTACACCATTAGGGACTTATGCCCAATGCAGGAGAAAAGCACCATAAGTTTTTCAGGAAGGACAGGGACTGGGGTCTGTTCCTTGCCTCTGCTAAACTTAAATCTAAATCTAAATCTAAATCTAAGTCTAGGTCTAAAGGGTCAGGGCAAAGAATAGACTTTTTGCTTTTAGACTGCTTTTAGATTTAGATTTAGATTTAAGTTTAGTAGAGGCAAAGAACAGGCCCCGGGACATGGTTAGACTGAAGTAAACTAGTAATGTAAATGAAAATTGGTGTGCCAATGAATTATTTCCTTTTTTTCCTAAAAGGCAGGACATGCAGGGGACACATAACAAAACTGATGTATACAATGCATAGAGTAATGAATGCCTCCTTGGCACAGGCACCACAGCCAAGATCACAGTCCCTCAGCTGGAGACATTCTGCTCTGGACATAGAGGTGGCAGCTCATGGGTTTCCTAGGTTCATAACTGGCATGAATGATTTTTAAAATGTACTACACCTGTATCTCCTAGATGTGGCACTCGGAAGGGCATGTGTTAGCTCACACTAAGTAAGAGACTCTCCATGAAAACAGGTGGGTTAGGTGCTAATTGACAGAGAAAGAGACTGCCCCCACCTGGATTTGATTCCCCACCTCCCAATTCAGTAGGAAGCCAGAACCACTCTGCCCCTGAACTCTGTGCTGAAATTTATCTTCATTCAATAATTATCTGCTCACCTCATTCCCATAAATTCAAAATTCATCTGGTGATATCTCTCTTGGCAAGAGAGAGTTAGGAGGAGAGAGAACTACCTTATTTTAGCAAAAAAATATTTTTATTGTATTCATTATAGCCCTAATAAAACCATGTTGTTAGTACACCAAAGAGAAGCTTCTAAGATGTCAAGTTGGTGTAGATTAATAGATTCTTGCTTCCTTGTGCAGACAAGTCACACATTAATACTTAAAATTTCTCCTTATAAAGATGCATTGGTGTGGGAGGAAGCCTAAAAGGAGAAGGGGGAATGGATTGTATGCCATCCATCATGGTTCAAATACCCCTCAAGTGAATCCCCAGGGGATGTCCTTGTCAATCCCTCTCAATATCCCCTTCCCCTTCCTCTTTAATCACCTCCTCCTTTATATTCTCTTCTATCCCTTTGAGTACTTTCTCCTTTTACCTCATTTTTCTTTCACCCAACCAGTTGCTTGGAACAGTATTTAAAACATATCCTAGTTCTTCTTTCTCTTATGAGGATGTATCATAAACAACATAATGTTTTCTTTACCACATATATATTTTTTAAACTAAAAGTTTCATATTGAACTTAAGAAGTTTAGAATATTGGAAGTTCATGGTGTGATTTTTAATGTCAATGTTCTGTGGTTGAAGTAGTAGTTATGTATTGTGTTGTTTTACTTGTAGGTATTATGGAAATGGTAATTTTTCAAAAAAATGTTGGATAGTGCAAAATCAATGCTTCATATTGATGATTTATGGAAAGCAACACAAAGGTTGTGAAAGGTAATCAGTACCTTGCATTGATTACCCTTGTTATCTACAGTGGTCTGGTTGACAGCAACATTTAAATGTGGTAATAGCATGAACATTACATTGACTGAACAGTTTTCTTGCTAAATAATCTTGTCTGTGATAGCTACAAGTAAAACAATGTCATGCAAAAAATTATGTTGAGTGCTACTACATTGACTAACTCAGCTTCACATTACAAACCTTCACAGTTCAGAATTTGAAACCTTTATCAGGAGGCACAAATTCATCTCTGAACTGAATATTAATATAGTATTAATTCATCTTAATAGATGAAGAGTTGTTACATTTAATTTATATGTTCTGGTCAAACTATAAAAATTTGATCTGGTGGGGATCATTTTTAAGGCTGACTGGCCAGAATATGGTATGAATTGAATTTGCTATAAATATATGAACCAGCAAAGTATTTCTTTTAAGTATCAGTCCATTTGCTGCTGCTCATCAGAATGAAAATATGATTAGGATAACATTAGGAAAATGAGATGGAAACTCATCAACAACTTTAATTGATATAGGGTATATTTTTGTGTCTCTGTTTCTCCTTTCCAAATCCATCAAGGAAAACAAATCCATCAGGCTGTGATAAATTGTTTGAATGAATGATGATAATCTGGGAAATAAGAAGGGATAGAAGAGATGTATCTGCCAAAAATGAATTGCCTGATCCAGTTTTCATGGTGCCCATTCCTCTTCTGTGATTCTACCCCTCAACATGTAATTTCCTGAATTTGTTCTTCCTCCTTGTTCCACTTCCCTGACCTTCATTGTCTTCATGTTTCCATAATACTCCTCCCATTTCTGTCTCTCCTCTCCTTCCTTTCCTCCTCCATCTATAAGGAAGAAGAAGCCCATTGATGTGACTTTTCCGAATCTTTATTCTTTGAATGATACATACATTTCAACCCAAGGAAGGAAGAATATACTATAAATAAATGGGAGGAAGATGCGGAATAAATTTTGGTTTGTGGAGAGAAGTACAAAAATCATTGGGGTTAATTACCATAAAAATGTAAAGCTAATGGAAAATTTTAAAATATATATATATATTTCTCAACTGAAAGGATAGACAAGTAGGAATGATTAAAAGTTGTAGAATGATGAAAAGAAGTAGGACTGGGGTTAGAAATGGAACATGAACATTGACTAATTTTCCTCCATTAACCTCAGCATGATAGAAAACCTTTTCCAGAGCACCAAAAATCCCCATCAGCCCTTTGGTATAGGAAAACCTTGAATTCTATTCCTACCATGATAGAGATGGAGCTTTTCAGCCACAAAGGGAGGCTGTATTAGATTATATAAAGGTATGAGGGGGTTCCATCCCTTCTCTGTGTATTTGACATGTCTTTGAGGCATTTTCCTTGTATCATTCTCCCCCCATCTACATAATGAGATAATTCAGGCCATGCCTGAATGCATTAAGTGAATGCAGATGCAAAAAAAAACAATTTTCTCGAAATTTCTCAATTTGAAGCCATCACTTTTCAAGGTCACACTTGTGCCACTGTCACTTTTCATATTGGCAATGTTTTTCTCATATCCATGTCTGTTTCCACTTGTTTTATGGAAAGAATTGGACTGTAGTATAATATAACATGGAGTAATTGGCAAAGAGTAATATGAAGTAATTTGGTGCATGTGTGGATATAATTAGGTAGAATGAATCGATGATGATCACTTTAGCATATGTCATTCCAATTTCAGGTGACAGACACTAGCACAATACTGTTAGAGGGAGTTGTCAGTACATATATAAAACTCTTTTTTTCCCTGTAGAACAACCAAGACTCATCCTGGCCCAGTGGTTCATCTGAGTGAAAATCCCCTAGACAATTCCAGGGTGAGCATAGATTTTGAGTTCTATAAATCCATAATCCCATGGGTAAGAGCAGGTAATCATTTCCCCACCTCTTTGATTCTGATTGATGGTGGCAACTTTTAATGATCTCATTAGAGTGCTTCTCTTTCTCCCATTCACTTCATCCTTTGGTATTTCTAAGGAGATCAATATGACAATATTCTTCTTCACAGGGATTATTTATTTCCTTGGTTTCCTCCTGGAAATTCTATATCCTGTGATAAATGATTCTCTTGATGATGCCCTATAAGTTAGAGCTCTTACCTTTTCAGGAAAGATTTAAAAGAAAGGGTTGGAGCCTCTTCCAAATCAGTGTAAAGTTGTCTCCATCATCCCAGAAATAACAGGTCCATTTCTTTGTCATTCCCTTAAATAGCCACCATGTTACTTTTTTTCCCTGTATTGAGGACTACTGTGCTTATTGCTATTTGTTATTTTGCTTTTATAATATCTTTATTCATGATTCATTAGTTCTAATGCATATCCATATTATTCTTTCAATTTTGTCAGATTCAGGTATGAATGGTGATTAGCACTTCATTCATTGTAGTTCGTACCAACTTGGAATTGGTTGATTAATCTGTGTTTCTCCTTTGCTTTCACAGTTCCTTGTTGCAATTGCCCTGTCCTTTTTAAATTTTGCCCTGATATCTGTCTTCAATTCCTTTTTTTTAAATACTTGTGAATAGTGAAAGTGATTAGTGAATAGTGGCAGTAGTCTCATTCTTGGAGATATAGTCTGGTTGGTATCAACAAACATACTCAGCATGCAAATAGTTTCATTAGAGTTCTTACATTGATTGTTATGAATATCTTTCCAGTTTCATGGGCCTAAAAAATGGCTAATTAATTGCAACTGTAGTTACTTCAACTGTAACTGTAACTGCTATAAGTACTGCACAGTTGATTCCTGTACTTGTAGCTCCTGATTGGTTTTGAGATGGGTCAATTGGTTCTATGGGACCTAACAAAGAAGGTTGGGGAGATGCGGTTCTATCTTCTCCCACCGGATTCCCCCAGTCCTGGACCCTGCCTCCGCTCTGCATCATGGTTTTCAGATGGGCGGCAGTTCCTCTCTTCGCACACTGATGGATCCCTTGTTACCTGGAACATACGCCAGCCCAGACCTGTCTCAGCTCCCTGCTACCCACATGGTAAGGAGATAGAGAGCATGGAAACTTTGGCTCCTTGCTCCATATGCAATGCATGATAGAAAAGCCTTCTATCCTTTGTTGAAGGTCAGGAATACAAGTACCTCTAGACATATCCCATAGGAAAATGGGAATGATTAGTGAAAAAACAGGAAACATGAAAGGTGATTATAAAATAATATTCAAATGTAATGCAAGTAATGCAAGTAATGCAAAATATATCTCTGCATAATCTACAAAAGCAGTTTTGTTCATGAGTAAAAATAAAATAAATATCAGAATTAAAAAAATAAGATGTGGGATGAAAGCATGATGACTGAAAAAAAGAATTTATGTAAATTAGCTTTTGAAGCTGAATTGCTTTTGTACTGTATATGAGCATTGTTACTCATGCGGTATGCCTCAATGTGCCTATGATTTTAATGGAAATATTCTTGTCTTCTAGAAACTGGAGTTTTCATAGCTCTTTGCATATGTACCTTTCACAACCTGTTTTAAGATGGCTTGTGATTCATTTTTGGTCCACTTCTTCTTGTTATTTATAATGGAAAGTGAGAGTAGGCCCTGCTTGTTGAGAAACTGGCATTCTACTTGAATTTTTGGCATGCAGGAAATGGTGTTTAGTAGACATAGTCAAAGGAGAGATTGTATTTGGCATTCTGTGTCAGTATTTCAGCATTTCTCCATGTATTTTGTCATCTGAAATAGATAAATGGTGTCTGTAATTTGTGCAGGAAATAGGGTGTCAGTGCAGATGATTGGATATGGCTCTCAGGCATGCTTTTCAATTGGATTGTTCAACAACAATGAAATAGCTGTTAAATCACTGGCATTTTTTGGCATGTTAGCATATACCAAGAGATGCTCTCACACTAGGGATGGATGATAACTAATGACTGGTTTAACCTTTATTGTATGTGTATATATTTATTTGTACATTAACCTTTATTGAACTAATGCAACTGCTGTGCCACTGAGTGCATTTTTCCATGGCCTAAAGGTGAAAATGCTGTACTGGAACTTTTAGGAAAAACATGCTCTGATATTAAATGATTAATTGCTCAGTTAACGAGTGTTTAGAAGCTTCATAGAAAATATCTGGCTGTCAGCTCTTATGTGGGAGATTTAAATCCATTTGATAAAGGTTAAAATCTTGAGTGACATCCCTCAATAATCAAGAGATACTTTGCACAGGTGACTGAGTCCAGGGATGGAATTTTTAGGCTTTGCTCTCATATGAATGTCCTATAATAACTCCCCAAAAAAGACCTAAAATTTAACTTGCAATCTTCTCTACAGGGGGATATGTTGTTAGAAGTTCTCCATTTTCATTCAAAATTATGAAAGCATCATGTATGCATTCCAACATCAAGTTTTCACGGGAAACTTTTCCATTGATAAACTTGAGATTTTGTCTACAATCTTGAGATTCCAGTCACTGCATTCCATATTCAGTTTCATATTATTAAGTAATGAAGAGAATGTTTTCTTTCTGAATGCTGAAAATGACTTCTCATTGCCAAAACTGTACGCCTCCAAATGCAATGCATCCCTCATGGATGAAAATGGGCTTTAAATTTCTGGAAATGCAGTCTGCTTCATGCCTCTTCTGCTGATATTCTTCATTTAACTCTTTCGCTACAGCATTTATGAAGGTTGATCAGAAAGTAAGCTTAAAATACTTTCTGCCAGTTGGTGAGGTTATCATCAAAACCATTATTGTAGGTACGTTAGGCTTTACAAGGGTGATATTCCTGAGAAACAAGTGTGCTCTGGTGCATGTTGCATATGGGCAGTGACAAATTGAAAATGGTGATGCGACTAGAAACATGGTCACGCAAAGAAGTTCATAATGTAATCAGATTTCTGTAGGTAAGACATGTGCCAGAGGTGGAAATTCATAGCCAACTTATCTATGCATATGGTGATCATGTAATGACCCGATAGACTGTAGTCGCATGGTGTTGGTGGATTCAGAATGGACAGACAAGTGTGACTGATTAAGAGCAAAGCAGCCATCTGAGCTCTTCCAAATCAGAGGACAATCTCGGATGTGTGGAAAGTTGTATCCAAAAGGACAGGGGAATCTCTGTTTGTGCTGTACCTGCTTAACTTACTTTAGCTTACTTGACCTATCATATGGAACCATGCATGACATCACAACATGCACCAGAGCCCACTTGTTCCCCAGAAATTTTCTAGAGTTTCTGTTTCTCCATACCACTGTCCCAAAAATGCAACTGCCACAATGAAAGGTCTCACCCATCTGCCCACTTCAAACTCGATTTTGCAATGCTACCCCTCATCTGACAGTGTTGTAAGTCATCCAGTTGTGTAGCCAGCCATATGTTTGGTTGTTTTCATGCAAGTTGATTCCTCATGCTCCTGCAGCAGCAACCCTGCCAACAGAAAATATTCTACATGGAAAGGGTTAAAAGAATGCTTCATGATCTGCAGGAGAAGTTAAACCCCTTCCACTTGTTTGTTGAGCTGGGCTCACCATCATTTGTAGCATTATGGAAAAAACAGAGTGGAAAGGGTTAAAACTTACTCCTGCAATCCACTCTGTAATTGAAAGTGCTTTATTTATAGCTTTCTTTTTTTTATTATCTAAAATTGTTTCAGCTTTATCCCTGGCCTTCAATACCAATATTTCCAAGAAAACCTCCCCATCTTTGTACTTCAAACACTGTAGATTATCTCGAGATTCTAGTCACTGAATTCCACATTTAGTTTCATCTTCCTTTTAAATGTTGAGCACAAAATGACATTTCATTGCCAAAACCATTTTCAATTACATTGGGGTTCTTATGGATGAAAGTGGATTTTGATTTACCAAAACTGCAATCATTTTCTCACCATTTTTCCCATCAACATTCTTCACTTACTGAATGCCAAAAAATAGTTGCAAATCATCTAAAGCCAGATTACAAAAGGTATAGATGAAAGATATATTGATCTGTGGCAGACTAATATGTAAATTCTGCTGCAAATGGCCTAATTGTTTGCCAAAGTAATTGGCATTAGTATAACTGGATGCTGACATTTGTGAAGTTTGTTTATCTGGATGATAGCTTTTCATGAATCAATGCCAGACACACAAGTAAATTTTCTTTTAATTGTCATTTCAGGTCGGATGGGGAAGGATGGTAAGACGGAGTTGTGCAAACCTATCCAGAAGGTAGAGTGGAAGTCTTTTCGATCTGGGTGAGTTTCTCTCTTCCTTTCTTTATTTCATAATGGACCCCTTGCTGAAAGATGCATAGATTTATTCCTTGAAAAGAACTGTCAGAAGACGTGACAGCTTTTCAGGCAGATGCATCTATAATTTGATATCCTTCCCCTGACATTGGCCTCCACTTCTCATTGCATTCCACCAACTGAGAATTAGAAGGGATGAAAGAGAGGGACGATTGGATAAGAGAATAGGGAAGAACCCTGATTGCCTCCTTCGTTAGCGACATTGCAATGTTCCTTCTCTTGTTGGATATTGGGAGTCCAGTCTCTCACTGATTAGGTCATTGTATTCCCTTCCCTTTCTCTTTATCTCCCCATGGACAGTCTATACAGATCTCCACATTTTCTCTGTGCGGTCTCTTGGTAACTGGGGTCCTGGAGACCTGGCATATTGCCACAGGTACAAAATGATGAAGCATTTCTGTTTGTTTTTTTTTACATTTCTGTTTATTGCAAACATTGCTGAAGTCAAATTTTCTATGCTGTTCATAATAGAGCTGTTGATACCTGAAATCAGCACAAGCATCAACTTTATATGTGATTGGAAGCACAAAAAATGCATCTGAGGGTGGCTGCAAGCAGATCATGATCTTGACTTCACAAAATTGCCATCAAAACTATATCATGTGTCACATGCATTGTTATGCTGTAATGTTGCATCGCCAAATAGGATAATCTGTAACATTTCTGGAAGATCTGTTCAGTCAGATTCCTGGAACATAATTCATTGTCAATGTAAATTCCAAGGTACTTGACCGAGTTAGTTGCTGAGATGACCGACCCATCGACGCGAACTTGTCGATTCTTCATTCCAAACAGAAGTTTGGTTTTTGTTTTTTTTTTACCCTTATTTGAAAACACCAGCTCTTGACACTTATTTGGATGAGGTTCTATGCTTTCGACCATCGCACTAGGTGCTCGATGTCTTCTTCATTGTTGTAGATGTCCTCCTCGCTCTTGACACTGAGAGTTGTTACCGGCATATTTGACAATACGTGAATTGAGATTCACAACTCGAAGGGAGTCGGTGTAGTATGTGAAGAGGCACGGCGACAATACACCACCCTGTAATACACCAGTTTGAGATGCAAGGGTGTTAGAGGCTTTCCCATTCATGAGAACAAATTGACTATTCTCGGATATGTAACTGGTGATCAACCGCAGAAGCCATTGTGGTATCCTCATTTCTGCAATGCGAATCGGAAGTTTTTGCCGATGGATGCAGTTGAACGCTGAGCTATAGTCTAGAAATACGCTGCGTACTATTCGCTGTTGAGATTCGTTCAATTCTTGGCTAATGTACTGGAGGATCGTGAGAATAGCATCTTCAGTTGACCGAGATACTTGGTAAGCAAATTGATATGGATCAGACGAGATCACTTCAAATGTATTCAGCTGTTGCTGGAGGGAGTATTCAAATGCTTTCAGAAAAGGCGATGAGGACCCAATAGGATGGAAGTCGTTGAGGGCTTTGGGCTGAGGCTTCTTCGGTATGGGGGTTATTTTAATCCTTTTCAACGATGATGGTATTATTCCAGTGGAGACCCATCGGTTGTATTCGCTGGGTGCACTAACACTAGATGGCGCGGATAGGGAATTTCTCGTTGCGGTTCAGGATGCTCTTCTCGTTCAGCACGTGGAAGAACCGACTCGCGAGGAAGCTTTATTGGATTTAGTTTTCGCGACGAACGACGATCTGGCACTAGACGTTAAGGTACAGGATAACTGGGAGATTCGGACCGCTGCGCGATTACGTGGAACATTAAGCGGACGAAGAGTAACGCCAAACCGATGAAGGTTTCGTACAACTATAAGAAGGCTAATTTTGAGAGACTACGTGAATGCGTTTCAGGTATCGACTGGGAGGAAAGGTTCCGTGGGCTGACGGTAGAGGAGCAATGGGGGGCGCTCAAGACATTATTGCAGAGCTTTATGGAGAAATGCATCCCCAAGAAGTCCATGAAATCGGTCAGGCAACCGGTCTGGTTTACGGGTAAAATCAAAGCACTCGTCAGGGATAAAAAGCGAAAATGGGATACGTATAAGCGCACGGGAGATAGAACGGACTATGAAGTATTGATATATACGAGGTAGGACCATCACGAGGACGTTGAAGCGGGAAATGAGGTCTGCGAGACGGGAGATCGAGGAACGGCTGGCTAGCGATGCTAAGAGGAACCCCAAGGCTTTTTATCGGTATGCTAGTGGTAGGTGTCAACAGTCGATCGGGCCTCTAATGAACGACAGGGGGGAGTCGATTGCAAATAATAAATATATGGCTGGGATACTTAACGAGTTCTTCGCTTCCGTTTTCACTGTCGAATCCGACGAAGCACTGACTTTGGAGGAGGTTACTTCGGCGCGCATTGTAGATATTTCTATCACCGAGGAGACGATCATGAGTATGATAGGGAAGTTAAAGGTGGGCAAGGCGATCGGTCCCGATGGGATTCCTATTCGAGTCATCAAGGAACATGCGAAAGAAATACCGGTTCCGCTAAGAATCATATTTGAAAGCAGCTTTTCGCGCGTGAAAGTACCTAAGGACTGGAGACTAGCGAACGTCGTACCGATCTTTAAGAAGGGTGAAAAGAGTAATCCAGGGAATTATAGGCAGGTAAGTCTCACGAGTATTCCGGGGAAGATCATGGAGTGCATCCTAAGGGACCACATTTTGGATTTCCTCGAAGGAAACGCGCTCATCCGGGACTCTCAGCACGGCTTTAGGAGGCGTCGAAATTGTCTCACCAACTTGCTCGAATTCTACGATTGGGCGACGGAAGAGAGGGATAAGGGGAATCCCGTGGACATCGTTTATTTAGATTTCGCGAAAGTTTCGATACCGTTCCTCACAAGAGGTTGTGGGTTAAACTGGAGGCGCACGGAGTCCAGGGTAGGACGAATTAAATTCTTAAGTTGATCAATGTACTCATTTTCAAAGTATGTATATGTTTTAGTAAGTTTGTGGGTCTGTATTCTAGGTTTTCAGAATTTATAAGTCTATAGGAGAAAGAATGCAATAAGATGATATAATATTGAGGATTTCATTATGATTGAGATGCCTGAGATCATGGATGGTAATTTATTGTCTGAGCCAGAGTCTTTATCATTGGTATGCATCTGGTGTAGAAAAAGAAGCATCATATTCATATGATTGTGAAGTATGTAAGATGAAGCCAGAAAAAATCCTGCGTTTAGAAACAAAAATTTAAGTCTTGCTGGGGAAGGAAACTGCTCATATTGCCTGCTAGATCATTAACTGAATATAGGCTTTGGGGGATGAGAAGTGGAAAAAAAGGGGGCAGAGGTTCTACAGGATGAGGGATAGTTGTGAAGATACAGTCATCATCCATCACCTGTGACCTGACTTAGGTGTGATCCATCAAACCTCCTTTCTCTCACCTTATCAGGAAATACATTTTTGCTGTGATGTGAAAATAATGAGCCACCTTTGCCTATTGCTCTCATTTCTTTTTTGTGTGACTTTGAGGAAGACTCCAAAGTACATTTGCATTTGTGTTCAATGAACACTGATTAATATGGTATATAAATATGTCTGTTTTTTAAATTCCATTTTAGGTTCTAGCTTTTGATGTGGATGTGGAATTATAAGTACAATGTTTCTGTACAGAAACAGAAAATTTATTGCAAAATTCATGCAGAATTTCTGACAAGTGCAAAGCCATCACAATTCAACTTCTACTTGTCAATATTTCATTTGTAATATTGGCTATAGGTTCAATCCTTTCTTTGCTCCCATGTTTTATTCCATCAAAGCGTTTGATGTCTGCTCTATTGACTTCAGCTGTTGTATATATCTTGCCTGCGTGATCAGTGTTGTGTAATTGTTTATATTAGGGAGGTGCGAGAGGCTTTCACAATCTTCTCAGGAGGGTTGAGTGCAGAGCGTGGTGGTCGTACCCCAAGCCTCACTGTCATTCAGGGCAAGACAACCACTGTCCTTGAGATGGAACACACCCTCATAGACTTCATCACTCTCTGTGACAAACCTTGGGCTTCCGGTGAGGCTTAAACCTACTTTGTCTAATTTCTGCCACAAAAAGGAAAAATTGGGATTGGCCTATGAACATTGAATGTACTTAGTAGTTTAATTTTTTTTTTAATAGCAACTTAAAATATTCCTCATTTTCCAGATAATTTAATAATTTAAAATCTTTGATATTGCTTTTTTATGTAGATAATTATAAATAAAACAAAAATGAGTTATATTCACTTCCAAACTGCTCCAGGACCAATTTCCTATGGCATTTGTCTCTTGGCTTTTATGCAGCATTTGGTGTAACATAGCCAAACAGATGTTTGGCTTTTTATTCTAAGTTATATGAAAATCTGCCTCATTGACAATGTTTACCAAAACAGAGAGTCATCAGAATTTATAAGTTATGAAATTTTCAGGTAAATAAATTCAACTTTTTATTGCATCTACAATTCAAGACATTAAACTTCAAAGTATGGTCAATGTTGGTTGGGAGTGTTTACAGAGTTTGAAGTTTATGGGAAAGATATTTAATGTCAGAAAAGCATTATGTACTCTATTGGGCATTTTGTTGCAGTAAAATGACACCATGTTGGTGTTTCTGATGATTTTCAAGAACTGTGTATTCACTCATTCTGTCCTGGTGCTATCAATATTTAATGGTATCAGTTGCACCTGAAGTGGAGTAATGAAAGGAATCATGCATAATATTTGCAAATGAGTTTTAAAAAATATATATTCTGAGTATGATACAGTTAAAAGCTATGAATCTACCTGAGAATCATGGGAAAAATTTGTATTGTATCTTTGGACTCAGTCCAATGAAGTATACTGTTACTTATGCACCCTTATTATATGAGGCAAGTCTATGGACACGCCTGAACATAAATACTTTCTAGAGTGAGAAACAGAATACTAGTTGTAATAGAGGAGCACTTGCTGTCCTCATGGTAGGTAATGAAAGTTCTCTTCAACTTGGGTTTCTTTTGACGAAGGTGACTTTTTACTTAGATCTTGCAGTTCATATTCTAACCCATAGAAGTGCCAGGGGTCTATGTCATTTTTTTGTCTGCTCGTATTCTCTTTGTATAGGGAGATTTAAAGAAAAAAAAGCTTTACTGTTATCTATAGGAAAAACACAGTTTCATAATTGCAAAACAATTTTTACATTGGCTATGCAATCGACATTGGACGGTTACAAGGTGTTGAGATGCATGTCAGTTTTTTTCAGCATCCCTGCCTAAATCGTGCAATGCCCATTTACAGTTTAGAGGTGAATCATTCCACCTTAAGTGAGGTAATGGTCTGTGCCTGACCATCTCAGAATACAGTGAAATTTGGTAAATGGTCAGATTATTTTGAGAATAGCCTACAGACAAAAAACTATATCTGTACTTCAAGCGGAGGCTGAGAAAAAGCGAGTTTCAATTTGGTCATGGGGACGATAAACAGCCCCAACTAACTAACTAGCTTCCTGACTACATGATTATGATAATTTCACTGCCCTATGTCGATTGGCCATAAACTTTTCAAGGGACAGTTGGATATAGCCAGTGGCGTAGGCAGGAAATCGGCAATGGGGGGGGGGGGGTTGAGACCAGGTAGACATCCCAACCCTACGCTTAGCTCCACTACCCGGAATTTACCTTAATTTACCTTTTTGAAGAAGACGTGGTCTGGCATCTTGGGTCTGTGAATGGACATCGGACTTTCCTCGAAGGGAGACAGCTAAAAAGCTAAAACTGGAATTCCCAAGGGAGGGTGAAATATGCCTGTCAGTGTCACTGACCAGGAAGCCCAAAGGGGGATGGGTTCTAACTCCCTAAACCCCCCCCCCCCCCCCTTCCGTACGTTCCTGGTTGTAGCTTTACTTGAGAGAGAGGTTCATGAGTCTAAGAGGATTTTTTTTCACATACTGGAAGATGGCGCTGTTGTCGACTGGAGGGCCTCCTATCATCGTGCTACGCCACTTTTTAGGTAGGGGGAAAAGGACTTCCTTTCTGAGTCAGTCAGGGAAGAACATCATAGTAAGCCCTGAATGACCCTATTTCTGCCAGCTCCTCTTGAATAATTCTCATCCTTATTGAACATGTCAAAGGTAATATTATTATCATTAGGCCTGTGGATTTCTTATACTATGGCACGATCCATCGCCTTGGCGTTTCCTTTCGTGTCTGATGTCCGGGTATGCATCACGTTGAAGTGCTGTTTGTTGAAGGTGGTTCAACTAAGTCAGAGACATCTTGAGTGTAGGAGATATCTAAAAAAAAGGGCATATTTGTGTAATCCAAATGAAGTGATTCGAAGTCTCTCGAAAGAAATTATTGAGTGGGAAATGGAGGTGCTACACTACTGTATGTTTCCACACCACTGGATTCCTCTTCATGATCTTAGCTGCATATCTTGCATAAGATTCTGAATATCCCCCGATGGCAGTTTATGCATGAGATCAAAGCTATGTCACTTTTGTGTGTGTGCATTTCATTCATCCCTTGGAGATTTAATTTATGGAACATGACCATGGCTTATGAAGGGAGAATGGATATATGAAGAAGGAAAATATTCCTTGCTCATTCGCGAAAAGAGACGTGGGAGTGTCTTGGATTCCCCCCTAAGGCTTTCAAGGCTCAATCCTCTGAAATATTTCTTCTCCATGCCTTTCCTAGATAATTCCTTTTCATTGCCATGAAGGAGGATGTAGAGGTATAGGAAGAGGGGAGGGAAGAAATGCATGGAAGGCGGCTGCGAGGAGGCCCTGAAGGGATCTAGGGGAACCAGACAGAGGAGGGACTTGAATCTACCATTAAAAGCTTCTCCTTTCCTTTCCCCTTTGGCTTACTTCTCTTTTTCTCACTTGTAACAAAAAAACTTTCCTCCTATTCCCTCACCAACGAGACGTGCGTCAAGTCAATCCCCTATCGCATGTTCCGAAGCGTAGCTATCTCGTTTGATTTCCCCAAGGACCATTCTTCCTACTTTCATCATGCGGTCTTTCGTCGTGATATTTCTTCCGTAGCCAAATCGTCATGAAGTATTGCAACAGTGAATCTAAGGTCGCCCCCACGGGTTCATGAAGGCCTGAAAAATCAGGAAAAAGTCAGGGAAATTTGTGAAATCCCAGGAGACCTGATAAGGAAGAAGAAAGGAGATGGCTTTCAGGAAGGTTGAGGTCAGGTGTAATAATACAAGTCAGGTGTGACCTCAGCATGCGTGCAGTCATACCACAAGCACCCATTACCAAGGAATTGACGGAAGTACTCGTGGGTGGATAGTCGGGCTGTGGTAGGGTTAGCGAAGTCAGCGAAAAATCTCTGAAAGACTTGTTTCACTTTTGTATTACGCTGATTAGCGGAATATTATTTGTGCAAAAGCTGTCGGAAGGCAAAAGTTGATGTACGCTCGGTTGTTCAAAACACCGGATGCTTGGAGTTCTGAAGTGGATTGTGGGAGTGATGTGCTCCAAGCAGCTGCTGACTAGACTAGGAATGCTCATATTTCCACCAGCTCACTCAGACATTATCTGCATAGGGTACAGTTGGAGTGGGACACGACCCCAGCCATTTCTCACACTGCAATATTGAGCGAGTAGGCTACTAATATTGGTGCACATGATCTTGACTTTTGGAAGGCGATTATTTTTTCTTATGAGTCAAAATTTTACCCGATCTCAGATAATGGTCTTGTCTGGGTGTGGCGCCTTCCATCTCAGGAGTTTTCAGCGAAGCATCTTCAAGCCACTACGAAACATCGCAGAACTTTTGTCTTGTGGAACGCGGTAGGAACCACTGGAACGTCCTTGATGATTTTCTACTAAGCCACCGTCATTGCTGTCTGATATGGTGACATCCTCAAAAAGGGATCTTCTTGTCTATACCGGTGGTGCCAGCATTCCGAATAGGTATAGGACGGTATTTTCGGGGAAATGAAGCCTCAGCTCACAATGCTCATGTAGTGCACAGGTGGAAAATGCGTCGAGGCATCACGACTTTATCACGACCCGGCGAATCACCAGATGCAAACCGAATCAAACGAGTCACGTCATTGCGACAAATCCCTTCGCAATGGAAGTAATTAACTCAGAAACCGTGAATACTTTAAGCAGGTGTTGCAAGAGGAGTAGGGTTACAATCCTGCAGACTCAGCTGATCTCATGCCTACCAAATGCAGACGTGTTGATGCACTAGTGGCATGGTCAAAGGGGGAGGTCCACTAAATATTGAGCATGGCCATTTTCTTTTAGTTAGCATGCATATTCTCGAAAATACAGGGTGTTTCTGTATAAAGCCTGGATTGGTTTTTCGAATAACTTTTATTGTATAGCACCATTTCAGTTCGTTGAGGTCTCATTGGAAAAATCAGGGTTTCCCATTTTATCTGCGCTTCGAACTTGATCGATTCGTACAACAGTGTGAATACAGACACGGTAGAAGGCGTGCAAACACCACTTTTTTCGGTCTTTTTCGAGAAAAGTTGAACATTTTATAAGTTTGAATGAAACAAAAACACAGACAACACATATGCAAAGTTCAACACTTCTTCCGTTATTTTGGATGGACTTGCGCAGCCTTCGGCAGTAGGAATGAAGGGTGTTCTCGCGTGTCGTTTGAACTCGTACAGATCGTTGATGTTGGCGGTGTAAACCTTGCTTTCCACGAAGCCCCATGAGAAGAAATTGCTGCTGTCAAATCCACGATCGTGGAGGTCACAATTTCGCCACAAACGAGCAACGAAACATGACAAAGGGTGGTCAGGTGCGCTGTGTTACAGTCAGTGGTGCATAACGAAATGAGTGGTGTGTGCGCCAACAGAGGTGTCTAAGTGTGTCTCAGTGCTCACTGCATCAAAATCCCACTCTTTCGATTGAGATTACAGCGAGCTGAAACGGTGAAGTACGAAAAAAGTTATAAAAAAAAACAAATCCGGGCTTCATACTGAAACACCATTCAAAATTATGGGGGTATATGGACTTGGACAAGCCTTTGTTGCCTCCCAAACCCCTTTCAGGTGCCGATTTTCACAAAGCCAATGTAGCTTGTCCTATAATAATTTTATGTCAAGTTTTCATTGATGACATCTTTGTGTGAACTTCAACTGACGATGATCAAAGCTTTGCCCCTTCCTTGCATCTTCCTCTTCTCCCGTCTCATCATCATCGTCTCATTTTTCCTTTTGCTAGCTTTCCTTCCTTTCCCCTTCCTTATCGATATCTCTCTTCCGATCTTTATTGCTTGGATAACGGGAGAAGAGAAACTACGACCTATCGATACTTCTTCCCTTGGAAATCGATCGAGGTGGCAAAGAAAAACTGGAGGTAGGATGTATAGTAATGGAGGGTTTTATCTTTCTCTTTCTATCTTTCTCTGTGTTGGGCCTGATATAATGTTGACCTTGGCCGCCCTCAATATCCGGATGGGTGAAGGGGAAAGGAAAGAGAAAATTCCTTTTTGTCTCCCGTCCTCCTTAATGCGGATCGAGCGGGCTCATGAGTCACTGGCCCCAAAATAATCTTTCTTAGTCTTTCTTTTACTCTTAAGGAGTTTCCAAAACCATTTGTAACGAGATTGCATACTAAGAAGGCGATGAATGGCTTGAAGGAATACATTTTTACATGGGGACAAAAAAAGTTGAAACCATGAAGTGGAACTAGGACTTGAAATCGGAGGTGATATTAGCAAGCATTTTCCTCATCTAATCCATATTCGCCTTGCTCTTCACCATATGAAAGCATATTAATTCATATTATCCAAGCAGCTAGCAAATCCGATCAGAGTGGAATCCGAATACCTAATTCAATCTGATCAACAGTTATCTGACAATCCAACAATCCTATTGTATGCCATCGCTGTACAATACAAAGTTGTACAATAGGCAAGGTGAAAGCCTCAGAAAGGTGGAGACAACTTGAGGATCAGGATGATCCTCCTGTTGATATCAAGGTTTAGGGTAGAGAAAGTGAAGGATAGATAGCAATCAGCAAAGTAGGGTCTTCCCTTTAGTTGATTTATAGTTGCTGAATGCACAGGATGTCCTACAATAATGTTCCACGAAAAAAATTCACTGTTCTAACAATAAGAAAATGATTCTTACCTCTGTTCTCATCTATTAATTTCATTGTAGATTTAAAATTAGTCATTGTCTGGGTTGGGATAACTGGCTAATGCCGTTAGCTAGATTTGAATAACAGGCTATCTCAAATAATTACTGACTTGCCATTCATGAATTTGCTTATTGGTTGAGAGTAATTGTGAAAGAAGGTTGATGAATGGGGAAGTAAAATGATCAATGCCTGTCATTCCATGAAAAAGTCAGCCTCATGGTCAAAGTTGAAACATAATGAAAATCAACAAAGTGCCATGAAAATTCACAACTCTGTAATGTGCTCATCAATTGAAATCACCGTGAATACTTTTTGTGCTAAGTTTTTTATTTATTTATTGGGGTCAAGTACAATATAATTCTGGTTGAAGTGTTTACTGCAGGGTTATCTGTCAACAATTTTTGCCTTATTGATTCCATGAAAAAGAGACATTACTAAAACACACTTTTTTTCTCTCCTACCTTTAAATGAATGCATTTCATTAGACCCATAGTTTGGGGATCCCAAACTTACAAAACTTAGCTGGAATCAGCTGAAAATTTTCTATAATTGCCAAATATCTCAGAACTGTCAAGCCTGTAGAATAATGACTCTTCTGAGTGAATAATGACTTCAGAATTGTTTCCAACTATGGTGCTAATGCTTTGTGACCTGGAAAAACTCTACCACCTTTGCATGCCTACACATGAATTACCTTACAAGGCATCAGCTGGAAATCTATAAGATGTCACATCTACATGCATTATTTTTAATGAGAATAAAATTTTCTTGTATTGTATAATATTAAAGGGTCTTTACCAAATGAGTATTCATGCCTGAGACTTGACGTTTTCAATGTAAAACAGGTCATATGGTGCAATGGCAGCCATCCTGTTTTGAACTTGAGCAATAACTTTTTCTCACCCAAAGTCAAAAGAGTGTCTATCAACTAACCTTGGATGCTTGCTCTGCTCATGAGACTTGTCCTTATACCAGTTCAGGCTAGGCACCAATGACTGGGTTAACAAGCTCAACAGGCAGTTGCAAACAGGTACATTCATATTTAGCATTGTTTGGGGGGAAAAAACAGTTACTCAGGTTCTGAGTGATCATCATTAAAAATTGGGAAAACCACCTGTATGTGTTGGATGTGAAAGGTAGTCCAAAAAGCTCTCAACCCTATATTCCTGCAGTCAAAGCTCCATGTGAGATTTCAGAAGGAAATTCTCAGGTTGCTCCATCCAACATTCAGTACATTTTGAAAATTTCAGTGAAGTTATTCATTCAGAATCTCTCACCGATTTTTATCATTATTATTCACATGTCATCAAATGGTTGAGTGCTTTTGTATGGCTGATCAGTTTGACTGGGGTAGAGCAAGTCCCATTGTACGTGGAGCAAGCAACCAGAATTTTCAAACTGGCACTCTTTTTTTGACACAGAAAAAAAGCTGTTACATGGGTTCTTCCAGACCAATTTCATTGAAATCTTTTGAGATCATATACACATGTTGGATGTGATGTCCCCAAGAATTTCTACTGAGACCTTTTATGGTGTTTTGTTTGCTGTTACTGACATTTAATAGCATCTCAGTTTAAGAAAGTTCTTTTTGACCCTTTAGGAAATAAAAATTCATCCAATTCCATAACAATTAACTACATAGAAGGCACTTTTGGCACATGTGATGTGTTGCTATTGCATTGAGCACTAGTAAGCAGCCCACCTTGAAGTGGAGATGGTGAATGTTTCACATGAAATCTTGAGAGGGTGCTGAATTTTGAAGTGGTTTCTTTATAATTTGCCTGACTCTCAGAGAGAATCCTACTAAATTGATGTGACTCTCTACTGTTCTCAACTATCTTCTGTGGACAATTTGATGTTGTGAGGCTTATTTGGACATTAATTAATGTGGGAAGTGTTTTACATATACTGTAGAAATAAAGACTTTATGAATTTATAAATCACAGAAAATATTTAAAATTTTAGAGCATGGAAACCTATATCTCTTTATGGTTTCACATGTACAGACAAAAATTTGGTAATAGCTCAGTAACGGAAGAAGATCCAATGGTCTTACAAATGTGCCTTTAATACAGGTCTGGCATGTGTAGAGACTGCAAAAAAAATGATAGCAGCAAACACCTTAGCAGTTAATTACAGTAGTTATCTGTATTTTGCACCTGTAACTATTAAATGAATGTAGTATTACATTTCTTGTGTCATTTACTTTGCCTTGTCAGATGTGCAAGACCCATATGCAGTGGCAGTTTTGCTGAGCAATGATTTGGTGATGGTGGATCTAACCACATCAGGCTACCCATGCTTTGAGAACCCCTATCCAATGGATATCCATGAGTCACCTGTGACATTTTGCACCTACCTGGTGGACTGCCCCACAGATGTTATTGGATCCCTCTATTCTGTGGGCTCCAGGGCACCCAAGAGGGCTGGATTCTCAGAGAAGCCTTGGCCCATCTCTGGTGGATCACCAGGCACCCCCAACACCAGCTATTCTGAGATTGTCCTTACTGGGTTTGTTACATTTTTGCTTCTTTGTTTCTGTTGTGATTTTACTCAGTGCCTGTAATGTCTTTCCAGCACTACTGGGCTTGTCTGTATTTGCAGCACTTTTTGTGGATACATCAATAAAATTACAGTGCAGCACTTGAAGAAAAGTGTAAATGGATTTTGCAACTGAATGAAAAATATGATTCTGCCCTGTAGAGTATGAAGAAGAAGAGTACTGGGGTTCATAATTGCCTTTATTCAGGGGTAGATTTCATCCTTAAACATCATGAGAACTTCTTAGATTCAGCTTTATGCTCTGGGATAAGAATATACAGGGTGATTCATAAGTCAGGTTACATAGGGAACGTCTTTATTCTGGGTGCTTCCAGTCAAACTCCTCAGCAATATGTCTTTAACTGCCATTAGCAGTTGCAATACGTTCTTCAATTGACAAAGACATCACTGTGAGCATTCACACACCTGCAACAATAATAAGGATTACCCCTATGTAACCTGACTTATGAATCACCCTGTAGTGTTGAGGGTCTTCTGGGATATTTGCACCCCCTTAATTTCTGTGTTTTCTCTTGTGGCTATTGGGGTTAAGTGCATATGCCAAATCCAAAAGAAGGTTCTCCTCATGTCTCAGAAGATTTTTATTTGAAAAATTTGTCACATTTTTCTGTGTTCTCATTTTATTTCTTACTTATCAATTTCATTTTTCATGAAATAGATGTGAACCTTTTGTATAGATGAGAGGAGTCCTGGCAATTAGGGACCATACATCATAGTTTTTGCCTCTCTGGAAACTTATGTTCATGGCTCATTGAGCTCTGGCACCATCAGGCCTCTTCCCCCTCTTTGGCAATTTTCCAGTACATTTCCTCCTTTTGATTGCTCCTTTGAGAAGGCCCATCTCGTCACATTCTGTCCTTCAGATTGCCATCCAGTCTGGAATATTTGGTCATGCATGCAATTTAAAAAATCTGATTGTATGAGTACTTCTGAGAATGATCCTAATTTTTCAAAAGTAATGATGCTGGAAAAAATTGTCAATATTTGGAAAATTTGTTCTATGGAAGGCATGCGGATGGGAGTATCAAGTTCTGGGATGCATCAGCCATCTCTCTTCAGATCCTTTACAAGCTGAAGACAGGGAAGGTGTTTGAAAAGCCCAAGGCTAAGAGTGTTGATGGGTCAAACGAGGATCCATTTGCCATTCACCACATCTCCTGGTCTCCTGAAAGTCGCCTTCTATGTATTGCTGGTGCATCATCATATATCATTGTCTTCAGGTTCCGCCGCCAGGATTCTGCCTCTGAAATCAGTGTAAGTTTCCCATCAAGGCCCTTCTGTACTTCCCCGAAATTAGCCTTGGAACTGAAATTGCTCATAAATTTCTTTATGAAGCCTCATTTTCTTCAATATTATAATGCATTATCACTTGCACCAGTGTACAGGTGGTTGATCAAGGCGATAGGAACAGCATTGATGATGAACACTGAAGGTTACCCTTAACTCTTTCCTGGCCCTATTCCAAAGCCTTGGTTTCCCAGATATTACCTTATTATTTTATAAGATGTAATCTGGATAAATTGTCAAAGCACCAAATACTCACTCAATAGTCCAACAGATGAAACTAGGAGTCCTTCAAAGAAAAAATTGCCTATGACCAGCTTGGCCAGGGGCGACAAATTTGTCAAGAACGCTTTTGAGCACTTTGGCCAGGAGAGGGTTAAACCCTTTGGGATTGGTTGATTGGTGACATTCACATGGTTCACAATCTTAAATCATTAATATGCTATCATGAGTGATGGTGAATTGTTCCCAATTACAACTTTGAATGAACCCTGGCTCTCCTTAACAGTCCTCCTCAGCTTAACACAAAGCTTAGCATTTGCCATGTAATCCATTTTCATTGCAACAGCAGGAAGATATAACTGCGCTTTGAAGGAAGCAAAAGATACAGAGATGTAATAGTACAAGGTATTGAGCATTCTTACCATGAAATTGTGATGTCACACCAGCAGTGCCTCCAATAAGCCATGCCTTTCTTCTTTGCTTAGCATTCTCCCTGTGGTGTACCAATATGACTCCCAAACTTTCATTGAGGTGTAGTGTATAGTTTTTGTTCTAGAATGTTTTAGATCTACCTACTGACCAGTGGCAGCTTGTGATATTTAGCACTAGTGGTTCATCTAGGAGAGGGGGCAGGCAGGGAAGGGCACTGCCTACTCCCTCTATAGTCTATTCTATAGTCTCACATTTTCTGACACTCCTGATTTTATCACATGCATTGGTATCATTAACCCTTTTGGTATCATCCCAAGTACATACTCACCATGCGACTGCCTTCATGCCTATGTTACCCTGAGTATGTACTCGTCGTAACATCTGCGCTTCAAATAATAAAATTTTCACCTAGAAGTTTGTATTGTAGGCAAAATCAGTTGGTGGAAAACTTTTTGTTTTTGGACTGCCTATGCTTTATGATGTGATTAAATGTTATTTCCTCCCTAATATTATCATAGTGCTTATTTTTCATCATGCTTGGAAGTGGCAAGCATGGCGTCCCGAGAGTGAGAAAGTTGAAGATAGGTTTAAGATACGTTTATATGTTGATTCATTTTCTAATGTGCCACATAGTGAGAGTGTTATTAGTAATGTTAGTGGAGAACAGTTTGCTGTTGTTAGTGATCAGTCCTCTTTGAGAGCAATGAGTCATGTTGATGATCAGAATCCCTCAGGAAGTGCTCAAGACAATTAGCATACTAGACCAATGGTTCCCAAATGTGGTACACATACCACTGGGCTTATGCAAAAGGTTTCCAAACATAATTATTTTTTAAAACTCACACAATCTAGTGCTAGTCTTATGTACTCAGTGGGATTTGCATGTGGGACAAGTGGTGGTATGTTACATATGTACCCTGGAGGCAAGAGGTATGCTGAGGTAGAAAGTTTGGGAGTCACTGTACTAGACAATGCCTCCAGAATTCTGAGTTTGTATTTGATAACAGTGCACCAAATCCACAAATATTCAAAAATGGCCCCTGTTACCACTCTACATATCATCTAGCTTAATGGCAGTTTTCTGTGAAAGTTTTGTCTGTTCATCTTCACTTGTTTAAGTTTGAAAGTGATTTTAGTGCTGTTAGTACTTATGGCTAATTTTCTTAAAACATTTGGACCCTGTGAGGAGGTCTAGTGCATCTGGGCTGGATACTGAAAGGGTTGAGAGTTGAAGGAACTAAGAATTTTATTCTTTGAAAATGAAAAGTGAAGGTACTATAAAACATTCCACTGAAATGATCTAATATTTCCTTGCTTTCATTACCTTTCACAGTTCCTGGAGATTCCCATCATTTATGAACTGTGTGAGGACACAGAATCCCCTGAATTTGACTACACCCCAAGGCCCACTCTTGGAGTTGCAGCCCAGTCATCAGCCTACTCGGAAAACAATGATAGCAAGAAGGTGCACATGCCCTCAAAACTCCACTAACTTGAAATTATTTGCAAAAAAATGAAATTTGCCTACTGGAATGTGTTGAAGGTTAATACAAGGGTCATTCAGATAGTTCATGGACATAGGAAGTATAGTTATTAACCCCTTGAGTGGGGAATTTCTCAGACAGAAGTCTACCACCAGAGTGAGGACTTTTTTTGTGAGAGCAATAATTAGTGTGTCTGTACAGAAATATGCCACACTTTTTCGAATTTCTACTATTATTTCAAGTTTTGAGTTTATATTTAACTCCCAACTAAAATATTGTGTGACATACATAGGGTCTTTCTAAATTAGGTTGCAATTTTGAACAATTATATCTCAGAAATGAATAGAGCTGTGAATATGAAACAAAGTGCATTTTATTACTAAAGACCTGACATTTTTTCCCATGGCATTTTCCACAAATGTTCTATGTGGTGCCCTTGCATAACTCGGACAATGTCCCATCTGTACAAGAGTTCCTCCTACACATGAGTAAGCATGTCAACCTTGACCGTGGCAACAGCTGCAACAATCCTTGCTCACAGTTCATCAGTGGTTCGTGGTGGGGGGTTTGTACACTTGATCCTTGATGTAGCCCCACAGGAAAAAGTCTGGTGGGATCAAATCTGGTTACCTAGGGGGCCATGCAATGGGACCTGCTCGACCAATCCATGCACCAGGGAAGGTTGTGCCGAGGTAGGCCCTCAACTCGAGGACACCACATAGAACATTTGTGGAAAATGTAATGGGAAAAAATGCCAGGTCTTTAGTAATGAAATGCACTTTGTTTCATATTCACAGCTCTATTCATTTCTGAGATATAATTGTTCGAAATTGCAACCTAATTTGGAAAGACCCTGTATATGTCAAACCCCAACAGGGTAGCATTTCAATGCAATAGATATGCATCTCATACCAACTTAAGATTTAAAGAATGCAAATTATTATCATATATCCTCAAAGTATGTCTCCTCAGAATTTATGCAACTTTTTGTCCTTGTGAACCATTGTTGGAAGCAGTCCTGCCACCCCCAAGTAGGAGTTTTCATGTGCTGTAGGAGGGTCACTCTGAAAGTTTTGAGATACAAGAAAACTAAAGCAGTTAGGGACATAATTTTTCCTATAGCTTTCCAAAGTACTCTCCACCACACTCTATGCAACTTTTCATCCTTTCAAACCACTTTTTAAAAGCTCTATGCCACTCTTCTTGTGGGATGTCACAGAGTTGAAATGTAAGCATTGACAGCATCATCAGGTGTCTGAAAATGATGTCCATGGATCTTCTCTTTGGCTTTTGGGAAGAGAAAGAAATCACAAGGTGCCAGGTCAGGACTGTAGGGTGGATGTTCCAACAGCTGAGCCCGTGAATCTTCAAGAAATGCTGAAGTTTGTGTGGCCCTGTGTGTTGGAGCATTGTTGTAGTGCAGCAGGATCCCTCACAGACCAGACTTTGACCTCTTCTCCTCCACTTATCTGAAGACTTTTGGCAGGCAGATGGTGCTGTACCATTCTGCTGTTACTGTCTGATATTTTTTTAAATGAACAGTGGCAATGTGGCTGCTTGCAGAGAAAAAAGTGCAGATTGCTTTCTGACACTTCTTGATCTTTTTACTTTCATGGGATCATGCTCATTTGGAAAGATCCAAACAGTTCATGGTCGTTTTGTATCAGGGTCGAACTGGTAGATTCAACTCTCAGGGGGCAAGGCCTTTACTATGCTGGGCTTAATTGGTTAGATTCCAGACATAGGTAGAATATCCAATATTCCAGCAGTGTATTATGGGCATATGCATTGTTGTGATATAGCAGTCTCCCTCTGAGGCCTGTCTTTATACACTTGACTTCGATCCCCTTGGAGACCATGGTGAGGCACACTTCACAGTACCTCTTGGCATTGACAGTCTTGATCTCTTGAAGGTTTCCATTGCCATGTTGCTAGAAACACCATGGCCATGCCATGGCCAGAAAGAGCCAATCATCTCCAAGCCCTTCCTGTTCTCTGTTTTGACCTTATTTGGCTTGGGGTCACCTGAAAAGCTCACATTGTCAGTTTTTTATTCATCATGTGAGCAAGGTGTTATGACCACAAAGAGCCACTAGTACTGCTGTTGTAGATGTGATGAAGTCAACCTCTGTCAAATTTTTGTGCCGATACATTGAACTAACTTATACAATTTTTTTTTAATAATAAAAAAGACAGGGCATGCAGTGGACTTCTTAGACAATGGACTTTTTAAAATGCAGAAGAAAGGGATGCTTATCTGGCATTGACCAAGTGGCCATCCCCTTTCTTCCATCCAAAAACTTAGCCCCTCAAGCAGGAACACTTCTCTACAGTCCTGTAGGAGGCTTTTAGCTCACAGGTTGTGTAGGCCCTGATTTAAACAAGTGATTTTTTGGTTGTACTGCACCTGTATCTCCTAGACATGGCAGAGTGGTGTTTGTGTTTGTTATCCTACTGGTGGGTTGCCTTTCACTGGATGAATGGTCCCAAACCATTTGGCCTCTGAACCTGGTAAATGGCATAGTATTGCTTTGGGTGTCAGTTGGTGAAGCACTCACTTTTGATCATTTTTACTTCAAGTTCTTGCTGAAATATGATGCTAACACTCCCCAATTCAATGCCAAATATGGAGAGAATGTCCTTGTGACCACAATGTACTAGGCTGATCAAAAAGGAACGGAACTTTCGCTACAACTCAAATAACACTTGGAATTGTTGGCCACTCTGCAGGCGTCAACTATGTTCACTTTGTGACTCATGGTAAAAATGTCAGTGATCTTTCATTTAAGGAACTCTGAGGGTGATAAAAAGAAATTGCCATAGTCAGTAACTTTCGGTGGATTTTACTAGAATGCCAATGCTGGAACAAAGGGCAAAGATGAAGCTCTGAAAATCATTCACTGAGACTCTCAAGCTTTTGCAAAAGATGTACACACAGATATCTGCAGCAAGCACCTGCTGCTTGTAGGTACATTTGCTGCAAAAGCTCAAGAGTCTCAGTGAACGATTTTCAGAGTTTCATCTTTGCCCTTTGCTCCAGGTCTGGCATTCCAGTAAAATCCACTGAAAGTTACTGACCATGGCAATTTCTTTTTATCACCTTCAGAGTTCCTTAAACGAAAGACCACTGACATTTTTACCATGAGTCGCAAAGTGAACATAGTTGATGCCTGCAGAGTGGCCAACAATTTTGATGAGTGTTATTTGAGCTGCAGCGAAAGTTCTGTTCCTTTTTGATCAGCCTAGTATATCTTCCTCAATCATTTATCATATTAAGTTCTCCAAGTTGGTAATCACTGCTGAATTTGGTCAGCCAGAGAGAGGTACATCTGCAAGACTCACTTGCCTATGACAGTACTCAGCTAACCACAGGAAGGTGGTAGATTTCTCTGGTCCATTCTCCCCTATAATGTGATTTGGGCAATGCAATAATGCTCATTGAAGGCACTTTATTTTATTAAGAACATTATGTCTTGATGATTCTTACTTGGGAACTGCATGATTAATCCTGGATAACACGATAGCTTGTGGTAGACCAAATGCATTTGCATGCTTAAACTTGCCATTGGATGGTGACACCTCAGACAATAAGCTTAGTTTTCTCCTTCCATGTGAGCATACACTATATTCTGATCTTCCTGGTTTGACTGTGCTTACACACTTTCTGAGTGACCCATGTTAGTTGCAATAAAAGCCTCAAGAACCCTGGTTTTACCTCTGAAAGCTGACTTGGCAAATTATGCATGATAGATTTGTCTACCAAGATATTGTTGAGGTATAGATGACAGAAAATGTTTTGTGTTTATGCAGGCATGTGTGGAGTACTTTGTGCCACTGAAGGTGAAAAGTGGGGCTCAGAAGAAGGGAGCTGGGTTTCAGCCAGAATTGGTCTGTCTGACACCTTGGGTTGATGGTATTCCACCTGGACCCATCACTGCCCTCCAGGTCAATTCTGCCTACAACCTGTAAGTATGGAGTTCCCTGAGTCTTGCTTATATAGTGATGCAACCTGTATTTCCTCTTTCCTCATATTTTCTTTGCAATTTTACTTATTCATCATTCTGTTTCTTTTTTTTAAATGTACTTTCTGTTTAAGGGTAACCTTTTGTTAAGTACTTAAAACTATATTAGTTTCAATTTTTACAATTTTGATATATTTAAGACTAATGTATTTTAAAGTTTTGATGTGCATTTATGCATTCATTGTTCTTGGGATGTAGTACACTTATAGTTTTTATGTTGGTTTCATTAATTATTTTGTTCAAACCTAGGTTTTCTTAGTAAGAAGTTTAGTCAGAGATTATGATATTTTCATCCCCTTGATACTTCCTGGAGCAGGAATTCCCCTAGTGCAGGTCACATGCTGGATGGAACACATGAAGAACTTCTGTGTGGCCTGCAGGGCAAATTTGGAAAAATGAAGTTTAATTTAAATACCTTTGAGAAAAGAGGCAGTCACAAACGAAGGAGTTTGAATCGAGGTTCAGAGGTTTTGACCCCTCCACCAAAGGTAGAAAGTTGTGGTGCATGTAGTGTTCCCATGTTTGTAGCAGACACAAACACATGAACAATGTTTTCCCAGTGTTTTTCGAAAGTCATCCGTTAACCGATGTCTAAGGCTAAAAACGGATTGCATGAACGCTCTCTTCCTTTAACCGTTGCCTAACTGATGTCTAAGAGAAGCTGAAGAAGGTGTTGTTTCCTGACAAGGGATGGGGCATGTTTTGCCGATATTTATGTCAGCATTCGTGTACCCTCTTGATGAGTATAGTGCTGCAGTGTACTGGTGAAGCACAATAGATTCTTTTTATGGATCCGCTTGATAACAGCGATGTGCTCTCGTCGTTGCATGGGAGGAATAAAGATTGGTTCTGGGCTTAATCCCTTTGAAGAATATGTTGATTAGAACTTCCACATGAGATACCAATTTGGAAAGGGATCAGGGTATGATGTCAACCTGCTTTGCGCTGAACTTGAAAGGAATGAAGATTGCGAAAGGGATCCCTTAACTTTACATTGCCAGATAAGAGCAATCACTGTTTGTGTGCAATGAATCGTGATTTGTTCAAGTACCCATCCCTTGAGTAATTAATTGATGACTTGAAAGTAAAGAGAGCATCATGAAAGCCTTCCGATTTGCATGTTATGCTGACCCTTCAAATTTTTTTGTGGCATTGATTCCTAGAAATGGAATGGCACAAGCCATTGCCCATTTGCATTACTCATTACATTCCTAGGAGAAAAAACAGAGTAGTTGTTCAAAGATTATTTGATATTGTCGGATTTCCAGGAGTGATCGGTGTCATCGACGACTGTCATACTCGAATAGAATGCCCAACCAACTTTTATCAATCACAAAGGCTTCTATTTCATTGATGCCCAAGCAGTGTGTGATGAGGAAGGGATTTTTTTTATTGATGTTGTCATTACATGACCAGGATCCACATGCGATTCCCGGACATCCTCATTTTGCAATTGTACACAAATGAGACTTCTATTTTTCACATTTCCGACTTCTCCGTGTGTGCAAAATAAATCCTTGCCTTTACCCCTGATGTATTGAAATACAGAGTAGGGTCAGAGGAGAACTCATCAGTTTCCAGGCATGATTATTTTTGTGCAAGGAAAGTGCATCGTGTCTCTCCCTATCACGGGATTCTCCTTTACAATCTCTGCGAGATGTACTAAATCGTCAATGGAAAGGTTTTCCTTTTTCCCTTGATTCACTTGTTTTTGTGGAGCCCAAAGTGTATTATGCAACAACTGAGGAGTCAGAACGTGCTATATATATCATGAGGGGTGTTTAGCCATTGTCTATCCATGGGCTATGAAAACATGGCTTAGGGGGCTATGAAAACATGGCTTAGGGATCGTTCATGCAATCCAAAGTAGACAGTGGTTAACCGATGTATTCCTAGACAGTGTTTAAACAATGACTATTGATAATCAATGTCTAAAATAAATATCGTTCATGCAATCGGCCCATAGTATCCACTCAGCAGCTTTCTTTCATTTGATCCATGTCCTCCCACCCCTTCACACCAGCCTTGGTCTATAGTACAGGAAGTTCTAAAATAAAAATGGGGAGATTGCTCCTTGGAACACTCTGTCTAGTAGAATCCTACTCCTATGAATTCCAAATCTGAACCCCCAAAGTTTACAAAAGTGTGCATTTTGTATAATTTTGGTTGTGTTTTATTTTGTTATGCATTGATTTAAAAAATGCCAAAATATAGCAATGAGAATTTGGCATTGTTAAAAAATTTGTCAGAAATGTTGCTGGGGGTGGGGGGCAAATTGCACCCTGAAGGAGGTTATATAAAACCTTGGAAAATTGGTAGACTAGATCAAGTGCTACAAAAAAATATATAAGGACTCTTTATCTACTGCAAGCAGGGCAGTTGATGGTCTGTAATAGCCAGAACAGAAGAGAACATTGTGACAGTAACTGAGGTGATACTCAATCAGGAAGATAAACCAGGGACTTGTAAGACACTGAACAAGAAATCCCATTTTCTTGTTTTCTGCTATTGTGCCAATGTTCTCATTTGTTTTGGCTGTTGAAGACTATCCACTTCCCTACTTGGAGTTGGTATCTTTTATAGCATATTGATGTGTCCACATCCAGGACTTGCAAGAGATATGTAAGAAATGAGGGAGAAAATGAGAGAATGAATGAGGGAAATTGCATGAATAGCTGCTCTTGATGTGTTGACAGATTGGCATATGGAAATGAGTCAGGACTAGTGATAGTGGACATAGTGCAGAAGACCTGTCTGTTGAACATGGGGACCCCTGACCTGTATGGAACAGCAGACCCGTACCAGCGCTCCATTCGATCCCCCAAGAAAGTCCTGGAAAGCATGCCAAACTCCAAGGATCAGGACTCTCCCACACTTGAACAGGTGAGCCCCTGCCATTCACCACTCTTGACAACAGTATCTGGGGTTTAAGTCAAAATCACCTGTCACTATAAAATGAGACAAATCTTAGATTGCTGGGGATAAAATTTTGTTCCATTAAATTTCCAAAAAACCATTACAGAGCAGTCATTAATGTATAAAGAAAGCTTCATATTGCTTCCAAATGTCTGCAACAGCAGACTCTGCTGTTATTGTGACATTTATTGACAGGAAGTTCTAATTCACTTTATTGCTGAATGAGCCTACTTTAAATATCATGGTTGGTAGAACGTACCAATGGAAGATGTGAAATATATAGTATTGTAAAATGGGGTCTCTTTGAATGGTGGCTATTTGGAACAGATTTTGACTTGCTATGTTACTGAATTCCATTTTGCAGCTCAATAAATATTGCTGTTTGCAAAGACAAAAATTTAATGGGCTGTGAATAAGGTAATTTCATTTCAAATAGCATAAAGGAGTTGGTCCAGTTTTGGAGGCCTTATTTATTTAAGGTGTTCTCTGCTGAACTCAAAAATAAAATTATTGCTCAAATATAAACAGCCTGAGAGAAGCTGAAGGTACCAATATGTATAAACCAAGAAAAAGTTCTTAACTCCAGACTGCAAGGAATCTTTGAGTCTGAAAAGCAGCAATTCATTACCTCTCTTGGAGCATAGATTTTTCTTATGACAACAGTCAGGCACATCCTGTCAGGTTCATCCTAATCTTTAGTCACCCTTGTTTTCTGCAAATTGTTTGCATCACTTTAATGCCTTCATGGTTCCTTGGTTCCTGGGGCATGTCACATCTTATCACTTCCAAGTAAAATTTGTTGACTCTCCAACTTTCTAAAGTGGTTTAATAAACTCCTTATTTACCTTTGTCAAGTAGCTCAGAGAGTATGTAGAAAAGTTCATTTTTTAAATTTAATTTTTAAATTCATTTAAAAATTCAAATGAAAACCAGGAAGCAAGAAATTTTGCCCATCCACCCTTAATACCCTATGCAAGATACCTGAAATATGGCATCTGTGCATCAAGGAATAAATAAGTTACAGCAAGTCATTCCCAGAAATAAATAAAAAAGAAGGAAAGTACTGAAGAATGCGCTAAATTGAAGTATGCTTCTTAGAATTAAAATACAGGGTTTTCATGAGATCCTTCTTTGCAACCCTCTTAACCAAGCTTTTCATAAACTGCTGGTCAATAAAATAAGTAATTAATGATAGGGTTATGCTGTACTGATGCATTGGCCACCACCAGTATAGCACCATTGGTGTCATCGACCATCTGTAGGTTTGCTAGCTGCTGATGTTGATGCCCAAAGAAGTATGTGCAAATGTGCAAAAGTAAATTGGACTATCACCATACATAAATATCTTTTGATAATTGGATCCATTGATGACTTAATTTCACATCATGATGGTCACTCCCCTCCCTGATTGCAACAAGAGATGACTGAATCTGCTTACCCCCCTCCTACCCCTGGGATGCATTGATGCACCATCAATGCTTCAGGTCACTACATGGACATTTTCAAAATATAGTCATTGTGACATCCACTAAAAAAACAGAATAGGCTTTCTAATAGGTCTATTTGAATATATATTTAACAACCCTATCTTTTGCTCTTTGTCTACTTGTCACCATCAACATTGGCACAAGTGGATGGACATGAGATCATGATCAACTATCAGCCCATTGGCCAAAAGTGGTGGCAGGTGGTACTGCCCTATCCAATAAGATCAAGCAAGTCCCACTGGTTGTTAGTCATCACCCTTCTCTAGCATTCCTCTCCAAAATACTTCAAGTAAATTTCTGTCTTCTGTATGAACTAAATAAGGCTTACTTCAAAGATCTGCCCTTGACTTGAAAGAAATGGCTTGTAAAAATTAAATTTTTAGAAGCCAATGATGGTCAGTTGAGCACCCTGATGTTGAGTACCACATACTCCTTGGGTCATCAATGACATCACTTGCTCCATTTGTTATGAACAATATGTTGGTTCTAACATCACTCCCTTCTCAATAAACTCACCTGCACTAATTGAATATCAATGATTAAAAGGAACCCCTATCCTATTCAAAATTGCTAATGTAATCCTCCATAAGAAAGTTGACCCTTGTGACAATTCCAACTACCACCCCATATCCCTACTACCAACCATAAGTAAAATCCGTGAGAGGCACATCTTCATGCACCTTCATCAATTCCTCCTAGATGCCAACATGCCACCAATCAGGATTTAAGAAGTACCACTCAACATACATGGTTCTCATCAACTTAATGGACAACACCCCAAAAGCCATGGACTTAGGATGTATCACAAGGGCAGTCCTTGTAGGTTTCAGTAAAGCTTTTGATACTATAGAGCATAGTATTCTCACCCATGAATTAGAAATTTAGGGGTGTTTCTCTCACTCTCACTTTTCATCTCCTACCTATCTGACTAGTTACCCAAATCCAAAAGGGAATAGCACCCTCTCTGACCCTCTCCCCAACATCAATATTGGGAGTTCCACAAACTTCAATCCTTTGCCCATTTTTGTTCATCATATTTATAAATTATCTTTCCTTGAGTATAAAAATGGCAGAAGTCAACATATATGCAGATGATGCCACAATTTACTTTTCTCATCCAAGTTCCCTGGTTGTTCAGGAGATCCTCCAACTTGAACTTCACAATTGTCTGTAAGACCCACTCTATGCACTCACCCCAACAGACTTGCATCACCTCTAGTAAAAGTTCTACTTGACCTTACCTTAAGTTCTGAGCCTTTCAAACCACTACAAGAATTTAAACTATTTGATTTAACTCTAGATGCATACCTTTCTTATGAACATCATTGCATTTCCATTATGAAAAAATCAATCATAATTATCCATTTCTTATTCCTCATCCATTTAATATCTCCTCTGGTCTCAATTAACTTAAATTACTTGCAAAAACCCTTGTTCTTTACCACATCACATATTGTCTTCCAGTATATGCTGTGCCTACTCCTTGTCCAATTTCTTAGATAAAATAAATATTAAAAATAAAAAAATGTATAAGAATTATCCACAAATGTCCAGCTCATCACCTATCTGCAATGCTTCTAAAGGATTCCAACTGGTTTTTGTTTTCATCAGGCATGCCTTTAAACCATGACCTTATGCCACAAAATTCTGAACACTGAACTCCATCCTAAATTCAAGTTTTCATGGCTCCTACTCACCAAAATAATACATATTTTACCAAAGGAAAAGAAGCTGTTCCAGAGGGAATGCCAAGAAAAAAAAAGCATTCCTTCTGAATCAACCCTATCCTTTCACCATTCACTCCACTATTGAGCAACGAAGACATGGAACTCATTCCCTGTAAACATTTTCAACATTCCTGTCCATAGCAAATTCAAAAGTAGCCTTCAAACCATGCATGAGGACTCCTACAGTTTAACAATGGAAATCCCCATCCCCAAACAAAAAAGATAATTAAATTACTCAAGTGGAGTCATATCTATATGAGTACGTGCATCTGCCTTTTATATATAAAGGTCTTTCATAGGTATGCAAATGTATATACTTGTGGTTGGATCCAATAGTGAGATCCACCTTGCATCTGTGCCTCTCTTCTCTTCTCTTTCTTGTGTCATTTTTGGAGACCACCATCTCCTAGGCTGATTCCTTTGCTGTTAGTTTGTTGCATAACCGATTTCTGCCCCAGTAAAGATTATTATTATTGTTGGAGATTCATAGCAAGTGCCAGCAAAGGAAGCATGAAGGGGGTGATCCACACCCCAATCTTCACACTTTTCTAGTTCTAGAGAACATGGTGGAGAATATTTGCCATGCCCAAGATGGCCATGCATTGGGGGATGTCTAGTGATATGTGATATCCCAGCTTTTGGACATGGTTCTTATGGTCTTTCAGGACCATGCTGGTTGTGCTGATGATTATGGGACTGATGGTGGTCTTCATTCCACACAATCACTCAACTTTCACTTTGATTTCTAAGTACTTGTCCAACTTCTCCCTGGTCTTGACTTGGAGGTTTGTGTCAGCTGGTTTGCAAATGTTGATCAGCTGGGCAGTGTTCTCCTTGTCAAAGATCATGAGGTCGTGCCTGTTGCAGATGATGGTACAGTCTGTAATTATGAGCATGTCCCAGAGTACTTTTTGTGGAAGAGTTCTCCACTACAGACTGGTTGGTATTCATTCCACTTTTCTGGAACATCCATGCCAGCATGCTTGCAGACACACCAGTGGACATATTTTCACACTTGGTTGTGCCTGTACTTGTACCGATGAGGGGCTAGTTCAGGACAGGCATTTAGAAGGTGGTAGACTGTTTTAGATGGGCTGTGACAGCATCGGCTGCAGTCATCAACATCCTGCTTCAGGATGTGCTTCTCGTAGTTATGAGTTCTGATACACTGGTCCTGAATGACAAGGATGTTGCTTCCTGTCTCAGGTTTCAGTATTCTCCTCTTCAGCCAATTGTAGCTGAGGTCCTTGTCATGTGATGGCTTATCGATGTTCTTGGGTTGCTGGCCATAAAGCAGTTTGTCCCTCTGTCATCCCTCCCTTTGGAGGAGTTCTGCTATCTTCATTTCTGCTGTGTTGCAGTAATTGGCCAGCTGGAGTGAGCTTTGGAAGTGGATGGCTTCTCCCTGTATGGAGTGTGACTTCTTGTATGTACCATATGCTCTCAAAATGGAGTAAAAGTCATCCTTGCTTCCCCTTGATGAACTTGACCACTTGACGTATCATCTGCCTATAGAGGGATTCAAGTTCAGGCAGTCTCCTTCCTCCCTTGCATCTTGGAAGGTAGAGTTATTTAACTGCAGCCTTCAGATGATGGGCTTGGTGCATGGTGAGGAGCTTTTGGGATGCTGAATTGATGGCCTGAAGTTCTATCTCCAGAACCCTTGCTGAGGATGGGGTGCCTAGGCTATTGATAGTTGAGATCTTGTTCCTGCCAGACAGTCCTGTCTTCAGTATGAGGCAGTCTCTTTTTTTGTACTCTGCTGTCTGCTTCTGCTTGACATGCTTAACTGCAACAGAAAATATTTTTTCTACTCCTTGGTATTTGTAGGTGTCAATTGGAGTGAGCTTTTGGAATTCCTCTTCATTGATAGCAGTGAGATCTCCTAATGAAGTGGGAATTCCACTGTGGACAGAGAGCTTTGCACATTTTTCAAACCCAAAGGACATCCAAATGTCTTTGGAGAAGATGGTGACAAAACCTCATTTTATCCCTCATACTGGCTCAGTCATAGTCCAGGATAAAAATGACCATGCTGGCTGTTGGTCTACTGGTGCAGCCGGTGAAAAGTGTCCATCCAGAGGCTCCCACACCCCTCTCCCTCACCAGGCAGGATTGGGAATAAGAACTCATGGTGAAACTTCCACCTCTGTCCCTGGGGCCAGGATTCATTTCCCATCCTCCCCTGCTAAAGGAACTATGTCCCTGCAAAGAAACACATGAAATGGACAAAGTCCATGAATATCGATGTCATGCAGGTCTACTACCAGGCTCAGCTCAATGCGCCAGGAGTGTACCAAGCTAAAATGCTCAAACTCTGGCAACTACATCTTTTAGAGCTGATTGTCACTGAACAGTTTCTTGCTAATCAACAAAGGGTTTTAGAGTGAAACAACATGTTATCAGAACTGGAACAAGAAAAAATTTAGCAGGATATACTGAATATGCTTTGATTGGACACATCTGAACCAGGCAGACCTGAAACTGATGCCATTCCCACTGCTAAGATTCCATCTCCAGCTGCCCTTGAGGCACTTCCAGAGCCATCAATGAAGCTCAAGTCCATCTTCCTTAACAACTTGGAAGATGTGTGATGCATGCAGTTGGCTGAATGACCCTGACTGAGACCTCTAAAGTTCAATCCTGCCATCTCCAGAAACATCGAGGAGATCTACCAGATCATCAATAGCTGCAATCTTGCAAAACGTGATCTGAGTGAGCTCAACTATCATGCCTTTGCTGCTGCCCTTACCATTCATCATAAATGGCAACCACAAGAAAATCCAACTCCAGGGAAGCACCCTTCCATGATTCCACCATGGAAGAAATGGCTCCATTATTAGTATTATCATTATCTCATTTTAGTTCCTCTCACACAATGTCTCTTCCCTCCAGGTTATTGTTTCTGTGACCCATAAACTTGCTTCCTATTTAAAACAATAGATTTTTTTGTAAAAACTTCAGAAAATTTTTTCTTTTAGCTCTTAACAGACATCTCTCTTGATGATGGCAACCTCCCTGTTCCTTCCTTCATATATTCTTTTCCCATTGGCATCTTCCTTGAAGAAGAGCATCTCCTGAAAGCTTGTTATATCCTTTCTTTTACTTCATTCAAATTTGTCTTTTTACTTATCTATTTATCTTTGTATTCCTCCTTTTTTTGGAACCATTGTGGACAAAATTTTATTTAAAAAAAAATGTTTGATCACCCCTTATATATACTGCCAAATCTATTCACATTTGAATAAAAATAGAATATTTGATTTCAGAAGACACCCTTAGAAATATTTATGTTTTACTTGATTTGGTTTTTGAAGTCAGCACTCTTTTTTTTGTTGCAAACTCCATTTCAAATCAAACTCTGTTCCAAGTTGCTCAACTGTTTTAAGTCGTTCTCACTTTACTGTTCCTTGTTAACTTTTTAAATTTTTCTAGATACTCTGTCTTTCAGCAAATGATAGGCTTTCATATAAAGTCACCCTATGTGAGAGTTTTCTTTTCCTAATTTAAAATATTTGGCATGGACTTGTCCATTGTAGGGACCTTCTAGTACCCATTAAAAAATTTTTTTTTTCAGTAATTTTTTGTATTTTTTTTTTAAATCAGGAATCATGCTAATATCAATCAGAGATAGCGTTTTTTTTATGAATGGAGCATTGTTGTGAGTGTATTCAGCAGTCTCTAGCATACCTAACAGTGCTACACTTTTTCTCATAGAGTCAAGACCTTAGTGCTTTAGGCCTAGTGTTTAGAGCATTTATGAGAGACCCCTCTATTCCTCTCAAACCCCCTCCAAAGAGCATTTCCCTCTATTGTGTATGTCTATCCCTGATGTAGTCAAGTGGCTTCTTTGCCTCCTACTGTCCCTGTCTTGACACCCCCCAATGAGTCTCCAGAGCTTGGAGGAAGTGCTCTTTCCAAATGGGTGATCAAGGACTTGGGTCAAAATGTCCTCCATGGAATATGGACACTCGCCCTTTGTATGGAGGGAATATGAAAGCTGCGAAGATCCATTAAATCTGTTTAAAGTTGTGAAACTTGAAGATATGAATCCCAGGTTGCATGAATGACAGGCAAGACTGCAGGAAGACAAAATCCAAGAAGCTCGGAGTGCAATCCAGTTTGAAGAATCTCCAGAATGCAAGAGGATGATGAATTAACAAATACCACATTCCACTCCATGCCTTGAGGCAAACTGAAGAAAATTGCAGTCACACTTTCATTTGGCTTGTCTTTCAGCATCAGTAAGATGTGAAGAAGCTTCTTAGTTTCTTCAGGATCTGCCATGGATTGAATGAAATCATCAAGGCTGGCCAAGCCGATGGATGAGAACTTCTCTCATGAGCTGGAACCAAGGTGCAAAGCACCAGAAGCAGATAGCACCTGGCAATTTTTTCTCTCTCACCGTGCATCCCAGCAGAGAATATGGCCACAGATGGTGGTAGAACGTAGAGTGATCCATACCCTCGAGTATGTCCCACCCAGCCCCCTATTCCAGTACCCATCCAGGTCCTGCAATTCCAGGAGGAAGCTGAGAAGCCTGCGGATGATGAGCCGAGGCCAGGCTTGTCTAGGTCACCCTCCCCCAAGCCTCCATCACAGCGCCCAATGGTGGCAGCAAAACGGAAGGTGAACTCATGGAAGCTGGTGCAGAACCTCTTGGGCATCAATGCCCAGCCGGACCGTATTATGGGGCGTGATGTCTTAGTACACATGCGAGACCTCAGGGAATCCTCCCAGGAACCTCTGATCCAAGTAGGTATGTCTTAGTCGGTTAGCACCGCCCAAAATGGAACGAAATCAGAACTGCAATCACCCTAGCTGAAAGACTGAACCTCTTGTCGTGTCCCTTCCTTCCTCTTCCCTTTTCTTTGACACCTGTAGACTAACCAGTTGTCATGGGGCCGCCTCTGTAGCATATACTGACTGGGCTTGTGCATTGTAGGTGTGCATCTTCCTTCTGACCAAGACTGATTGGTTGGTTGGTTAGTTAGTTGGACAGACACTGATTGGTTGGTTGGTTAGATGGACAGACCAGTGATGTGGTTGTGAGCTCATGATGTTGTATCTTGTTGTCATGGACAGTCTCTGCCACTCCATCATATTTGTTGTGATACACATGATGTAATCAATGTCAGGCTGGGGGTATTTCAGCTGCCTAGATTGTATGAGTGTGTACAATATGGAAAGGTGAAATTTTTTATTTTGATGTTATGTTATAAATTTATATCCCCTAATGCCTGACACAATCATCTTGGAAGTTATTTTGGGAAGTTCTCAGAGCGATTGCATTTCCAGTCTGCTATCACCAAGTTAGCAATTGTCTGGTGCACCTAGCAATGAGCAGCATGGGTGTTCCTCTGATTAACCCTTTCCCTGGCAGGCAGTTGATTTAAATCTTGCCCAAGCCTGGCAGGCCATTTAAGCCATATCTGGCCAAAATCGCATACCTCTACTCTTTATTCAATTGTGAGCATACTATTTTATGTATCCACTTGAAACTTTCAGGAGCCATTAACGATAGACCATTGCACAAATACAAAATTTTGGGCCCCAATTTTGAAAAAAGTTTGAAGGAAGAACCTTTTTTTTTTTAGCTAAAGCAAGAAATATATTCTTAATAATATTCTTTTGTAATTTTTCTATGAAATGTAAGTATGAACATGCATGACTACAATTTCCCCAATGCAGATAAATGTTTGTTATTCAACATAAAACAACTTACATTTTACGCTGCAAGTAGGTAGTTCACTAATTTTTCATGTACTACAGCTAGAAAATTCACTCAATACTTTTTTCTCAAAATTATTTCATTTAAAGAATAGTACACTGAAAAATACTATTTTGTTCACTATCGTAAAAATATTTACAATTTTAAAATCGAATTTCTGGTTGAAATTAAATCATACAGTGTCTGTATCGATTTCTACAGTTAGTGCAGACATTCATTGATCTATAGCCAAGTTCTCTTATTTACAGAGCCACTTGTTAGATGGCAACAACATTCGAAACAGAGCTCTGCACCAGAACTTGAATTCTTGTGCACACCAGGGAATGGTTGGATTTTCCTCCATTTGAATTCAAGTGCACACCAGGGAAAGGGTTAAGTATGCTGTATGCAATTATAAACAATTTCCAAGTTGTGTTCCTTATTTTCAATGAATTTAATTCCCTTCAGTAGCTGGTGCAGGATGTACAGAATCCCATTATCTATTGCACATTACACTTTTTTAGTGATCTTACTGTTACATCAGTTCAGAACCTTTTTAGTAGGAAATGTACAAATACAAATAATGTTCTGGGGTTACACATACTTGTTGCTTGGTTTCCCAATCTGACTGTGTTTGGCACTCCCTTCACTACCTGTGCTAACACATTACACTCAAAAACACAGAGGTATAACCCTCACTTGGTGTTTTTTTGTGGTTGACACTCACCTTCTGACGGAGTTGTTATTTTTTGCATTCTTTGAAGTATTTGTATTAGGTAGGCATATGCAAATTTTTAAATGAATGGATTTTATTGTTGATACTCGTGGTTTGTGTATTGGTATTGAAAAATTATTTCCAGTCAAATTCCTGCATACACATTGCATTGTCAAGGGATGGTAAGCCCATATGAAATTGCCATTTATCAAAAATTACAAAATGAAGCTTTGTAGTGAATGAAGTTAGAAAATAAAAAGTTACTATTTTCTGGATAGCCATGCTGCATTTTGCCTTGTCTTACCCTGTTTGCCAGGATCTGGAGAATGGGAAAGGCCTGTTAGGCATATGGGGTAAATTTTCCCTCCATGTCGAGCATCTTTACAATCTAGAACAGGAAATAGCACTTTGCAGATGAGGTGATGCTTGTTTTAGAATCAATAACCGCACCCAACGTAGTTGGATGTGTCTAGAACTGGTACTCCATGTGCTGTACTCATGCTTAGACAGCACTGGTGCTAAATGTATCTTTGTACTCATGCCTGAGGAATGCATCTCTCTGTTTCCTGGTTGGACAGTGTGCTGTTGTATCATGTAGATGGCCAACGAGCTATGCATGGGAGCATCTGCCACACCGCTGCAGCAATCTAGTAGCTCAACAGCAGCAGCCACCTCCAATCTCCCATCCCGCCGTCCCGTCGTGAACCAGGGCTCCGGGGAGAGTGGCGGAGGAGTGCCAAGTAGCCATGCATTCAAGCGTGCCAAGTCCCAAGGTATCACTGTACCACGGCGCAAGGGGAATGCTGTCCTACAGAAGTGTGCCAGCATCGCATGCACGCCATCGGATGCAGTGGGCGGGACCGACCCAGTCGCACCCGTCTCTGCTCCGTCCACTTCTGCTTCTTCCTTCTCCTCTCTCTCTTCCTCTTACTACTCGATTGTGTTGCGGCCCCGGGTCCGCACCCTTCCCAGGCAGCAGAAGACCATCGGGGGTAGGCCCGTACAGTTTTTTTTTCTTCTTGTGTCTGCTGCTTGGATCAAAGATTGCATAATTGTAAAATGGCCTGGTTATATATAAAGTGCTAGCTGAAATATATAGCAAATTCTTGACAAATCCTAATGCTTCAGATATCTTGGTGGATTTCAGTGACCCATATGGGCTCTCAACATGCATGCAGTCTTTTTCCAGGCAGTGCACTCTTGTTGTCTCCATGCCCCACACTTTCTTCCATAAGAGCATCCAATATGACTGCCCTTAGGGATCATACGTTGTCATACCCTTACATATCACTCCCCCATTGAATGCCAATAAAAACCAAAACCTTGCCTCATGCTGAAGCTGCTCCTGTGTAATACACTGATGAATTTCTTAACATGATGAGTGGTGTCCAGGAAAGTTTTACTCCAACAGGAAATGTTGAATCTGATGTATAATTCTTGCTTTAGCTTGACTTGGTCAGCTTTTGAGGTTAGGTCATTTGGGGAAAGTGTGGTCAAAAAATTAAATTTTCATCTTTGCATGATTGGCATACCTAATCAACAAAGTTCTGTGGCAGACTTAAGCAAGTAATTTAGTATGCACTATTAGACTGTTAACTTAAAATCACAGCATTTTTGTCCACTTACTTTTAAAATGGACTTCACACCACTTGTACTTAAAGGCCATTGTTGCCATACTTACCCCTTCAGTGGGATAAATGTGATGTTTGGCAGATGGTGCCAGGTCCATGTGATCAAGCCAAAACAGCCAACATGATTTTTATAGGCTTATATACATGTCCATTTTAGACATGTATGCATTTTTTCTTGGCATCACAATTTCTTTCAGTAATCACACCCTTGTTATAGGGGTAAACATGGTCTTGAACAGGGAAAGTGTGATCATGCTCAGCATTTTCTTAGTCTTAATGAAGCCCTACACTCTTCAAATGAATGAGACATAAATATTGGACAAAAAGTTTCACTTGGAAAGGTCACTGCTACCTTCATGGTAAGGCAAAAAGACCAAAGACTTTAGCAAACAGAACTCTGCTCTTACTGGAGCTATTTCTGTGAACCTTTCTTAATGTATAGATGCATATTTTTCCAACAAATAATGTTTCATCCAGGTCCATTTTGCCAAGGCCAGACTTTAGGTACTCAAAGGTAGTGGAATATCAAACGTTTACTAGAGTTTGTGCTGATGAGGGAGTGGGATTCCTAAGCCCTGTGGTTGCATGTAATTCAGGTCTCATTGAACATTTCCTTGATTAGAATTCATTCTTATTTCAGTGAGCATGCTTTTTTTAAAGCTTTTTCCAATGAATGATCAATGACTCAAGTGTCAATTCAAAGGATTTGTTCAAGCTTTATTCAAATTTTCCATTGGTTTCTGTTGGAGAAAGAGCCAGCTAGAATCTGTTCCCCCAGATTGGAAAATGACATTCTTGTCATTTCCAGTTTCCAATTTCCTCTGAATAGTGCTCATAAAAAAAAGGTCTCAGAAACTTATGAATATATGCACATTGTTTGTTTTATTAAAATAAATTCACTAAGAGCAGAGGTATATAGGTTCAAAGTTGTTGCTCTTTTCGTTCTTGCACCCTGCATATGATCATACACTTCATTATGCAGGGTTTTATGCACAGCCATACTATGGTCATGTTCAGCTAAAGGGAAACTCCTAAAAGAACTATGTCCTTTGAAATTTCCTTTTCTATGGTGACAACATCGATTTTTATTCAGCACTACTTAACATAAAGGGAAGTTCCAAGACATGCTGAATTGAGTACTAAAAGTAATATAGGTCATTCAAATACTCTGAAAAATATTTCTGAGGTAAAGCTGTGGAATTGGACTGACCATGCAAGATAGGATTGGCATGACAAGGTACATCTTAATGCATACTTGATTGATATACTGTACTTGTAAGTTATAAAACGGGGTTGGTTCTGACCACACTTACTTCATGAGTGCTCCTATCCTAAATGGTCTTTGTATATAAAAGCCAAAAATGGAAGTCTGATTCAACAAAAGAATGTTTCCTGGTGAACTGCTTTGCAAGTGAGTAAAAGTTGACAGCATATTCAGGAGTTCATATGGAACTTCAGCATTAATTTAAGAATCTTTTTTGAATTGAAGAGAAGCATTATAAATTCATGAATATAGCATTGTTACCTTTCTTGGATACCAGTAATTCTTGCAGGAGAAAAAGGAGAAGTATGAGTAAGACTGCTCCTAATGGTGCTGGTATTTTGAACTCATATCTTACTTACAATGACCAGACTTCATGATTAAATGAAGCCTTGCACCTGCCTGGAAATGGCTTCAGCATGAGGTGTGTGAACCACATAAAAAGAATTTCCACCTACAACCAATGTGTCGGAGGAAACCCTGCAAACATTGTTGTTCACCCTTCAGATCACTCCAGATGTCTTGTCAATTAAACATCATTCAATGTCCTGTATCTCCCATTGACCCTCTTCCACAAATAGTGTTGGGTGTCACATCACCTGCCTCATGGAGAATTAATCAATTGCCATATCCATTTCAGGCCAAATATGCCTGAAGGTTGAATTCCCTGATTCCTAAAAGTAAAGTGCAGGAATTTATTCATGTGTCTCACTTTTCAAATTAAAAGTTAAAAGGTATATGTTTCAAAAAATTTTTCTTTTTGGAGTATGTAATTGTGAGAGCTCTTTTTGTGTCAAAACAAATGCAGATTTTATTTGGAAAACAATTGAAATCTTGAAGTAAGAATGAAGTGCAAATGTAAGTGCTTGGTGGTTGAACAAGAGGAATTATAGCTGTTTAAAAGATGCATTGAGTTGAAGCTTCATCAAGTCTTAGTTGTGGAAGCACTGATTCAAATCTCGGTATGAATTTGAATTGAAATTTTCCTCACTTGCAAAAGCTGGAAGGAACAAAGCTTGTGCACCCAACTTCCTAGAACCCAATAAAGAAAGGAAGTCTAGATGTACCCCCAATGCTCTTCTTGCCTGATGATTCTTCTTCTTACAGTTTACTCTTGTCCTTGTTTTTAGGCTCCTTGCACGAGTGTTGTCTGGTTGGCATTTCATTTTCATGCAAGTCCAGAAAATGAAAAACTCACTTCACTTCTGTTGCATAGATCACCTTCAATGGTATCTATAGTCAGTTTTGAATGGTCACACAAGGAAGGATGTTGACATTTATGTGATACAATCTGGGCTTGCATGAAAGCAGAGAATGTTCTGTATTGCTATTGTGTTCCTGAAAAGAATTAAAATTCACAATGAATTTGATAAATTCATTGACTGCATGGAATCATGTCTAAAAGTGTGTGTGTTGCAAGAAATGTTATTGTGAATATGAATGGACTGTTTGTGAGTCTATTGCAAAAAAACCTCATCCTCTTTGCATGTCCCCTTTTACTTTGGGCTTCTGGCTTTTCTTGTCCTGCATGAGTTCTCTATCTCATAGCAAATTTTCTGCTTGAACTCTCAATTTTCTTCTGACTGCAAATAATTGAAGAAGGTAATATGTGAATAAAGGATATTTCAAGTTTTTACAAAGTCACTATTACAAGATAATGTAGTCACAGAATTCCTATAACTTTGGTAATAAAATTTGAATGAATTCAATGCCATATATCTTGTAAAATTGTCTGTTGGAAAGTAATTATTGTGTATTTGGCAGACTAAATCAGTTGAGTTAGCCCATAATACATTTTTCTTAAATCTAATTGAATTAGGCCACACTAAGCTAAACAGAAAATGAATGGTGATTACTTTGCATATGGTCTATGATGCCTGCCTGTAAATGTTGACTAGTTGAAGATGAGTGGTCTGATGATGATGATGGTGTGTGTGTGTGTGTCATTGTCCACATGGGGTGTGGACACAGAGAAGCTGCAGGGGTCAGAGTCTGGTGTGAGTAGTCGCTCACGGTCATCAAGCATGTCCAGCCTGGACAACATCAGCTCTGAGGCCATCTCTGCCCTTACATTCCAAGACTCCTTCGCCCGCAAAGGAGGTCTGTTCTCTCTGTAGTCTCTTGTCCACTTTCCACTCTTCCACCCCTGTCATACACCCTCTATCTCTCATCTACACACTTTCTCTACCTCATCCTTGCACCTTTTGTGCTACATCTATACAACTTAGACACATAGACCTACCATCCTACTTTCACCAGCTGGCTTCAATCTCTCATCCTTCCCTGAGTAACTGTCTTCTTAGGCCATTCTGTGAAATATTGACATACATACCTGCATATTCAGTTCTCTTTTGTCTGCCCACAGATGCTTCAACTAGTCCCACATTGTGGGTGGGCACAAACCTGGGCTCAGTGCTTGTGATAATCCTCAACTTCCCCCTCAGCCCGGATCTCCGGAATACTCAACCTGTCATTGTCTCTCCCAGTGGTAAAACTTTCAACAGTTCTCTCCATCCATGAATGATGTCTTGTTTTTGTTTACCTTATTTTTTAAATTTTGTTCTAATCAAATTTCCCTTCTTTTTTAATATCCATCTCCTGTTTGATATTTTGTTCTCTTTTTATCTTCCACTTTCCATTTGCTTTCTTTTCAGTCCAGAAATTTCCAGATTGTTCAAGAGGTATGTGTGAAATTTTCTATTTGAGTTGTTTAATTAATGTGAGCTGTTAAAATTTTTTTTTTAAGTGTACATTGTATTGTAATTTGTATTTTGCATTTCATAATCATCTTCCATTCTTATTTATTGTACATAAGCAGGTGCTTATGTAAAAAAGTAAATAAATCATTTCAGTTTTTTTTTATGTATTTCAACTTAAGCAATTCATCTGTCATTTAATTACTGATATCCTTGGTTGCCAGGTACAATCTTCCGACTGAAAGGCTCAATCCTGTCGCTGACATTCTTGGATAGCATGGGAATTCGAATCCCTGAACCCTCATCCTCCTGGAAAGACAAGGACAAGGAAAAGGACAAAGAAAAGGACAAGGAGAAGGATAGGGAAAAAGAGAAGGAAAGGTCTCCAATACTGGGGAATCCTATGTCGGGCTCCACATCATCAAGTGAGGATGTTGACCTCCAGTTCCTGGTGATGACCTCAGAGAAGCAAGCTCGGGTCATGGCGCTTCCATCCCAGCAATGCCTCTATCGACAGCAGATCACTGACAACTCATTTGTTATCAAGGCTGCTGTCACTTCCATTGAGGGTAGAACACCATTCTCTTTTTACATATTTGTCATTCTTTTGTGAGTTTCATATTTAGGGTAGTTCAAATTTAGGGGTCTTGCTTGAGCATGTGCAAAAAACTGGAAGTCTTCAACTGCCTTGAATTTGTAAGTGGTTACATTTTCCTGTAAGAATTTTTGCATTCCATTTGAAATCTTGATAATCATCTCAGCATAAAAATTGAGGAGTTCTCTGGAAAAAGGGCATAAGTGCTCATATGCCCTTTTTCCATACCCATACACTGCTTTAGGTGACTTGTCATAGGATAGGGTGGTTGGCAGATAGTTAGGATGCGTATTCAGCAAAGGAGAAGCAGATTTTTCTATGCTTTCACTATATGGCAGGCCAACTGCCAGACAATTTCAATATAGCTGCCTCCATGAACATTCCATTAGCACTTGCATCACTGAATGATTTTAGTGGGATAATTCCTTTTTTTTTAACTGAAAGTGAGAGTGAGAATGAAACCAAACAGGAGAAACGGGGACGAAAGAGACCCAGTCATCTAAACCTCTGGAAGGATGCAAGAAGTGGGTGATATTCATCAAACAGTTGGAGATTCAAACGATTAATAAATTAATAATGGATCACTGATGAGCTATTGGTGAATGAAATTTGTCCTGCTAATTTGTCCACAATGGTATTTTCATTCTTTAAGGAAGAGTTGATTTGAAATCTGTAAATGTATTTATTGTTAAATTATGATTTTTAACTGGAAAGAAGTGGTGAAAGACTGGATGAAAAAGTAGCAGCAGCATGGATATGGGGAAAATGGCGTATGTATATGAACCCTTTCTGCCTGCATCCCAGCAATGTGAGATAAAGAATATTTGTTTAAACCCCAATATCAATTGGAAAAAGGTATACAATACTGTTTCACAGAGAAATACATTTTTACCAGCTGCAGATTAGTCATGGGAAGGTTTTCCCATTTATCTCGAATTGCATCTTTTGCACATGTGCCTTTTTTCCTGAGAACTCCTCAATTGTAGTACCCTTGACACCTTCCTGTTTTCTTGCTATAAATCTTCCTAATGGAACTTTTCATGTGAGTAGATCTCTTACTCTGGAATACATGTGCAAAGCTCAGAATTCATTTAGCTGTCAGTGTGACATTAGACCAGAAATGAAAAATGCTTGCTATGGATTTTCCATATTGAGGTTTTCCTTTGTTGTATTGTTTTCTGGGTTATATAAATGTGTTTCCAGGTTGTGAGTGCCTGGTGTGTTATGTGGCGACAGGGCATCTCTCCATTCTCAGTCTCCCCAGCCTGCGTCCTCTGGCCTCTGTGGAATTCCTACCTCTCTCAGCACTCAGGTCTCCTAAATCATCGTGCCTCCTTGTTTGCCAAGAAAGAAACAAAAAATATCTATAGGGCTGAAATAATTCAAAATATTGTTTTCTTTCTGGGAGTTTTCCATAGAATCAATGTTGTGTTCAGTAGAACTGGAGGTTTACAAAAAAGAATGATATGGGGGGGAGTACTTTTTCTTTTAAAGCCCTTAGCATGTATTTCATGACAAACTATGAAGTGGATCTTACCCCCTTCACAAAATATAGTTTGTTGACTCACCATACCCAAAGTGCTTCCTTAGACTTTAATGAGAAGACCTCAGTGTGTGTTTAACATGTACATTTTATGACAAAGTCACTTTCTTGGAGGCTCCACACAAGTGTTTGCACTATTCACATGCACTGCATTTTCCTGATATTCAACAATGACAAATGCTCACAGGGAACAGCATGATGATCCTTCACTAACCTTGTCTAAGAGTCAGCTGACCCCCCTAGACATCAGTTTGTACTAGTGTCTAGATGTAGTTGTTGAGTCATCCTTGTAGAAGAGAGGGACATATTCGTCACAAGTAGCAGGCAGGAATGGGAGTTAGAATGCAGATATATGCACCCAACTTTTTCTTGGCTGCAATCTCTGCATTGAACTCTTGCTCTCAAGGGACCAACAGGACCCATGAGACCAAGATGTCCCTCTCAATCTTGTTTTCCCTGAGGAAATTGATTAGTAGATTCAGTCATTGAAGAAACATTGATTTTGTAGTTGAACCTTTCTGGTCCCATAGATGATAGTTATGAATGGCCTCGTGTTATGTTTATAAATAGAATAATAATGGGCTTTTAGTTTAGTGAAGTCTAAGGTTTTGAAAACATGTTGTTTATGATTCATTATTAGTGACTGAGTGCTTCAATTGAATTTTTTTTAGCCATAATGCCCAGCAATTAAGTACATGTTCTCCATGATTGGTTGGGAACACTTTTTCAGTTCATTGCAATTGTTTCAGACAGTGAACTGGTTTTGAAATAATTTTTCTAAGATCAGGATGAAGGTGAGAATGAAAATAATAGCCCCAGCGTCATTTCATTTCCCTGAGATGTAGCACTATGCAAGATTGCAGTCATGATATCTGCTTTTCAAGCCCATTGCTTATGTCATGAAAGCTTGCAGGTTTTTTTCAGTTCATCAAGATTGCAGGTTAAATTTCCATGCATCAATTTTGAAAAAAGATAACAATGTATGTTCTGATTAGCCCAATTCTTGCCTAATTTAAATATCAAGTTTGTAAATGTTTCAGATTGGCACAGTCACCTTGGAAATCTTTGCATCAGGGTTTGTTAGAGCTTGTTTCCTGCAGCAAGCTTCCCTTGACCCCTCACTATCTCTTGGAATTGTATTATTGCTTATAAATCCTTCTTCACCTTCCCTAGAAAGTGATGCCATAGTAAAGACCAATATAAACCATTATTTTCTCTGATATGGTTTGTGCTTACAATAAATAAACTTATTCAGACCAGTCACAGTCTGAAAAAGAAATCTTGAAAATTGCAATTTGTTGCATGAATAGCATTTTAGCCTGGTCCTTTGAAAGGGTTTTATCCAAATTAGTAAAACTCAGTCATTATCTCTTGCATCACTTTCAGGAGGTGGAAAAATGCAAAAGACATCTGTAACATCCCCCAATATGTACAAGGTGTGGCACTGAAAAAGACTCTTGGCTTTTCTTTTAGCCCATTTATGATTATGACTGGTAGTATTTTCACAAAAATGTGATGTTTCCATAAGACTTGAATTTTCATCTGAATTTATTCCACCAATACAAGCTTTTGAACTGTTGTTCAAAAGAAATCTGTAATTGAAGTTGGACAGGGGGGCACTGAAGTGACTAGACTTGACCTACCTTCTCCAAATTCTAATTTAAAAAGTGCAAGATAAGTAAGTAGAACAAACTCTGTCTATTGATACCTACTGATTTGCCAATTATTGATTGGCAGAGAGATTTATCTCTTTCTCTCTTGTCTTATTTATTTACCTTCTGCCACAAAGGCCTGTGAAAAGAATTTTTATGGAAGAGGTATGCGATATGGGCTGGATGATATGCAACCAGGGCAAGATGTTCCTCCACTAAATTATCAGCTTGGGCTCCTGGTCAGTATCTAGCTTCGTTTTAAGTAATTGCTCATAGCCTTTTATGGGCTCAATCATTTTGAACGAAATTCCTCAAATATCTTAGGAATGCAATGCACAATGGAGGATTTATCAGGTTGTAAAGGTGAAATTTAGACATTTCGATTTTTTCTAGAAAAATCTGGAAAATGTTAGAACTTTCTATGTAGGTGTATAAGTAGAGTGACCAGTGGGCATTGTGGGCGTGAGTGCTATCGTGAACCTACAACAGATACATTGACGCAAGACTGCACTCTAGTCGTTGTTGAGTTAATTGTCAATAAATTGTTCTCTGGAAAATGTCTAAATTTCACCTTTACAACCTGATATATACACTCAATGTCCACAAAATTAGAGATACCTCACTAGTAGCGTGTTGGACAGCCTTTGGCCCTCAAAACAGCATCAATTCGTCGTGGCATGGATTCCACGAGGTGCTGGAAACGTTCTGCAGGTATCCCGGCCCATGCTGCTAGCACAGCATCACTCAGTTGCCGCTTGTTTGATGGCAGTACAGGCAAGCCCCGCACAGCCTGTTCCACCTCATCCCAAAGATGTTCTATTGGATTGAGATCAGGNTGACAGCCTTCTCTGACCTCGAGCATCAATGAGGCTCTGCCGTCCACAGGATGCCCTTGCAGCCGTTGTTTTTCACTTATCACACCATTCACGGTATACCTGTGAAACTGTAGCATGTGAAAAGCCTAGCAGTTTGACGGTTTCCACGATACTCAAACCAGCTAGTCTGGCACCAACGACTGTTCCACGTTCAAAGTCGCTGAGGTCTGTTGATTTGCCCATTCTGCAGTCAAAACACACACACTAAAGCAGGGCTGCCTGCTTTAGGTCACAACCTAATCTACCTAACCTAGGTTAGGTTATGCTGTAGCTGCATGGAAAGTTGAATGTAGGGGTATCTCTAATTTTGTGGACATTGAGTGTATATTTAAAAAATAAGTTGCAGAGATGTATGGATTAGAAATGGTAGTTTTTTTCTTTGCCATGCCCTGTATGTCTGTGTGTGTTTGTGTCTGTATGGGGGAGATGTTGGAGGTTTCTCATTCCTTCTTCCTTGCATGTGGCAGTTTCCACCAGATCACCAAAGCCGGGCTTGTAGATCCCATGCTCTCCATTTGGGGACAACAGATCTTTGTCACTGAAGACATGCCACAGTGAGTTTGTAACCCCCCCCCCCCCACCCCTTGTGCTCACTGACCCAGCATGCCCTTTGATCCTGAAGTGTGTGTGTTTGTTTTTCACTCCATCTCTGCCTCTTTGTTGTAAGTTTTAGCATTTAAAATTATTGACAGTCATGGTGCTGCTTGCAGAGATTTAGGCTGTTATCAAACTTTTTGCCATTTGTTGGAAAAACTGAAGTTTGAGCAGACCTTGCAAAAGAAGAGTCTTAATGAGAGAAATGGGACAAAAGAATAATGCGATGAAGCATGCTTGCCTGCTTCACTGCCTGTTTTGCACTTTGTTGGCCTGGAATTCCCCTGCAATCTCTGTACCATCCAATGACCTTCCCAAAAACTCTCAGTTAAAACTGCATTTCATCAAACATTCTCTACATTTAGGACATATAAAATACCAGTAGTGCTTTGTTCATTTTCATGTGAATTTTTTTTATCATCTTGCTTTCTAAACATGCCATAAACACAAACCAATATTCACTGATATTCAGATTGGCAGATTGAACTGGAGGTCCTTGATTTCTTCCATGACCTGGAGGATGCCAAGTTTTTTCATGTGGACTGGAGAAATTCCTACTATTGATATGAAGATAATTAAATGGAGCATTCCATTAAGTGTTATGCACTGTTTTAGCAAATATACAGCAATACATTGTCTTATATAGAGATTCAGATGAGCTTTGATTTAATGTGTTGGCAGCATTGATGTCATAAATAATTTTTTCAGTGTGAATTAATATACAGGTTTAATGGTGGAAATGAAAATTTCCAAGATATTCTTGATATGGGGTTCTGTGATATTTTGGGGTCTTCTTTATTACAACCTGAGAATTGTGCCGGAATGGCAGGAATTACTGCTAGTGTGAACCAACCCAATCTATGTGACAGGATCACTCGGACATTTTGTGTGAGCAACCTTGGCCTAGGCCTATACCTGGCATCCCCATCGGAGCTGCAACGCTTCAGCATCTCAACATCGTACTGCAACAACCTGTGTGAGATGCTTCCTGAACTTCATGTGACTCAAGAGACTCCTGAGCAGCCCAAGGAGGGATTCTTCAAGGGCCTCTTCACCGGTGGTGCTAAGTTGGTCGACCGTGATGACCTCTGTAAGCCACATTGTCAAATCAGTTTCTCATTATTCAGGCACTGTCAGGGTTTTCAGGTCATAAGCAATGTTAGATCATAGGATGCTTTTTCTTATTCTCGAATATGATAGTAATTTCTTCCATGTTTTGAAGATACCATACTTTTCTATGTGGACCAGTGAATATCCTGTCCCTAACCTCTTCAGACCCAACGACAAAGTTGCATGCCAATTTTGAAATCCTTTGGCTCACTACCTAAGCTCCACCTTCGATGGACAAAGCAAGGAATCCAATATTTATATCCTTCTTGGTATTGGTTTAATAGAGTGGCTTGTGTACATACCACTGGGTTTTCCCCCATAGAGGTGCACAATTGATTGCATGCATTTTTTTTTACAGTAAAAGAAGCTCATGGGAGCCAGTAATCAAGGGTCATATTTGAAAATGTTTTTAGGCCCTGTCACTGTCATTCAGCCAATAATAGCAATTAGGCTGGATAGTATTTCAAAAATACTGAGGCACTGTGGTACCCCACACTCCCCACCCTGCACACTAGGGAGTGTTCAGTAATCCCTTGGCCCTTCTTACTGTGGTTCTCACTTTTTCAAGTACGTGGAACAGCACCACAATAAATATTTCCTTGGGTGTCCTTACAAAACATCCCCTCCCATGTGGATTTGGAACCAGATGGATGTCCCCCCTAGGCAGTATTTCCACCTGCTAGAGCGATGTCCACCCGGGGGGGAGATGTCCACCTGGTTCAAAATCCACCCCCTATCCACCTGGTCAAAGAACCAGGTGGATAAGGGGTGGATGTTTTGCAAGGGTGGTAATGAAATGGGAGGCACTGCCTATGAATATGTACTTGAAACAATCATGAGTGGTGCCCCCCCACTGTCCATGTCTTTGTCTTCTTTGTCATTTTTGTCAGCCTGGTGCTGGAAGTGCTTGAACCTATCTCAGGTAGATCAATACCACTGTTTCCTATCCGATCAAGGAGTTCCATGTAGTTGGACACACACACAAATTTACTGGTGCAATGCCTTGTGGTATGTATACATGCCATCTATATTTTGACTCATCTCATTAGAGCTCTATAGTCAGATATCCCTTTATTTTTAAGTAGTTTCCCACACTATTTGACTGTAAAGTTCAAAGTGCATTCCTAATTATAAGGTCAATAATGAGCAATTGAGAAGAGCTTTTATGGTCGGAGATGATGTGGGCGACCATATTCACAGAAGCACCAAGTTCACTGTGATGCAGACTGCAATGCAGAGTGCAATGAGGCCCATATATTTATTTCAGGAGCCCTCTTAAACCCTGCTATGGCCTGCAGCTTGATTCATGACATACGAGGCAGAAGTGGGGTTTGATCAGGGATTTCAACATTTTTTATGTTTGGCATGTGTACATGCCACAGGGTCAGAAGTGGTTAATTAATTGAGGTTTTGTAATAAGTTCAATATTCTATCATTGTAAAATGTAGCTCTTCATTCATCATAAATTTATGATGCCAACAAAATGAAAAATTCATAAGCCACGTAAATCCTTTTCCAATTGTTCTTGCCAACCCAACATTTTGATTGTGTATCACAGATCACTCTGATACACAATCAAAGCTGTCGCAATAATGGCCTTATTGAAGCCTTCTGTGATTAGCTCTTGTCTTCCAGTAAGTTGCAGTACATGCATCAACTAGACAAAAATTGTAGCCTATCATGAATTCCCCCAAAGGCCCAATGGTCATCTTGAGTTGACATCAAATGTGAGAAGTTTTATATCTCTATGAACCTTATTAAACAAGCTGTAAAAAATAAGTGCATGAAAGAAATGTAGTCTAGTACTGACTATCTAGTCTAGTACTTCTCCATTTTTGTTTACTTTCAGTTGGGGAGTCAAGTGGGAAGCCAAACCGAACTGTAGCTAAACACATTCCTGGGACAGGAGGAAACCTGGAGAATCTCAGTAAGGGGGCAAGTGGAACTGGATCTGAGGTCAGAACTGTTTCTTCCTTTTCTATATATGGTATTTTCAAGGGTTCACCTTGTTTAAGAGTAGATGGAGTCATGCAACTCTGCAAGGGAGTACTAGTTCTTAAATGGAATATTGTAATCCATCTGAGATTGCTTTGATCTTTGGTGGAAGGTTTAGGAGCATTGCTAATAATCATTGCTTTGGTGGGTTCTTGAATAGAGTGACATATCTCTTGGCAAATTTTATCCAGGGCAGGGTCACATTCTCAGGGTATGGGCAAATTACTGAGCACAACATAATCGAATTACATTGCAAGACTAGGGATTGGTGGCCAAGTGGCTCTGGCTTCCAAGTGAAACCTGGGAGGCAAGGGATCAAGTCCAAGTAGTGGTGGGCTCTTCCTCCGCTGACAGGCAACCCACCTGCTTTCTTGGGTAGGGTCTGCTTTGTGTGAGATAACACACACACATCACTCTGTGTGCCATGTTTAGGAGATACAGGTGTAGTACACCTTAAAAACCACCTGTGCCAATCATGGGCTTAGGCAACCTGTGAGCTGCCCCTTAGGACCATGGAGGGGTGTCCCTGCCTGAAGGACTGTCATTCAGATGTGGTGCCTGTGTGGCAAGTGGGCACCTCCTCCCTCTCTGTGTTCCATTATATGTCCATTGTTTGTGTCTGCCACATGTCCTGTCATAAAAAAAAATTTCATTACATATTACTGAGCACAAATTTTATTTGAAATGCATATGTAAAGATGCACATCTAGGAAAGCATGTATGGATTTGTGGCACATGATTCACTTTGGATGGTTACTGACACAAGCACTTGATTTGCTGTTAGTAATAATTTTTCGAAGTTACCTGGGTAAAGGTGGTTCACAAATCATTCCCCCATATGAGAAAAGGTGCTCCACTGGTGCACTTGATAGCAAGCCTATGTTAAACTTCATGAATATTTTCTTTATCTTGTATACTATTCAAGCTTGTGGATTTCAAAACATGTTCCTTTGTCATAGAGGTATGGCAAAGCCTGCATTTTTAGGCATTTACTGCAGCAGTCTCACAGCTTCCTTGTCTGTCTGAATGAGAGTATGAAAATAAGTATCGTCATCAGACAATGCCATGCTTTTCACGGGGCTGGGACATGCTGTCCCAGTGTATGCAAACTGATCTGCGCAGTTGAGGAACAATGCACATTCAAGGCAATACATAAATCTTTCACCTTTCTCACTTCTCAGAATTCAAGTAGTCATAAAATGGCATCATAAAGAGGATCCAGCCATGCTTGTGTTGCTCATCTGCTGAGGGTGATAGTTGCCAGAACTCCATGGAAGTAATTTGTAATTCCACTACTCTTTAACAAATACATATTTGGCCAAAAATTCAATTTGAATTACAATTATAAATTACAGCCTTGGAAATGTAATTGAATTTAAATTGCAAATTATTAATTTGTATTTTAAATTTTATTTAAATCTAATTTTAATTAAATTCTGCTCAACACCAGCACTACATGAAGTTAGGAGATTCTAGCAAGTTATGGAAACTATGTATGGACTAGCAATGAAGACATAAGATGGAAGTCTTCTATACACATGTGTGATTGATAAATTATATACCCTATCCATATTATTGAAAATATGTATCATTCCTATAATTTATCAAATATAGGAAGAGGTACTTGCACCTGATCCATTTTGCAAAATAGAACGAGCAGCAGTATTTATTTTACATTTTTCATGTTAGTACGGGTCATAACAGAAACATCCATGAGATTTTAGAAATGGAAATGATTGCTTTTGGGTGTAAGTTTATGACTCAATTAGAAAATATGAAAATCCAATTTGATGGGGGGGGGGGGAAAAAGAATACAGAGTCATTCTTAATTCATTGGAGAGCTGGGAAAGTTATCAGGGAACCTTGGCGATTGCTTCTTCCAGCCTTCCACAACAGCAAACCACCAACAAGAAAGTCCATGGAAATTACTCATTTTTCATACTTGAAGATGGAAAAGAGGGAAATGGTAGGAAATTGATATTTACTCAAAAGTCCAATGTTTGCTTATCAGGTAAGATATAGAAATGTTGGCATATTCTTTGGTTAGGCATTGGCTTGATCAATGGCATGCATAAGCACTCTTGACAAAGATAGCACAAATAATTATTGGCTTTTTTTTTTTGCCTGTGCCATTCTGAGCTGATGAAAGTAAAAAAGATGAGTTATAAAGAGCTGTTAGTGAAGAAAGTAAGTCATAATAGTAACTTGTTCATCCCTGTTCACTCTGCCCAGTTGAATGCAATTGCTTGCTTGTTGCTGAAAGTAGTTATGTAGCTTGAACCATCATCTGGTTTGGTGCAATCAAGACAGCCCCACTCAGGTTGCAACAGGCTGAATTAGGTGCCAGAAGGCACTCCCAGCATGAATGTTATTCACCATTTTAATATGATGCAAATGGCGATCCTTTTTTTTTGTCACAATCTCCTTAGATTGGTCGAGCAAAGCAACTGGCCTTGGAGCGTGGGGAGCGCCTGAGCCAGCTGGAAGATCGGACAGCCAAGATGGCCATGGATGCTGAGGTCTTCTCCAAGACTGCTCATGACCTTATGCTGAAAAGCAAGGACAAAAAATGGTATCAGCTCTGATTATGCTGCCATCAGCTGCTTCTTCGCCTATTTCCTTCTCCCGCTGGGTTGTGATGATATGCAAGAGCTCCCAATACCTGATTCCCAGTTACCCCACTTCCTTTCCCCAAAAGGGAAAAAAGGCCCAAGATTTGTATTCTCCAGCATGAAAAATTCTACAAGACTCTTGCAGTGTGTCTAGTCTCTAGTTTGTTCTTGAGTTGGCTCTGTCATTCCATGGGACCAAATCATGAAAGCTAGTCAATATGAAGTTGGTGACAGGTCATCCAAATTTCATGCAAGTGCTGGCAAGAGATGACATTCCTATGTTTTGCTTCCCCTTTCTGCAGGGGATAAACTTTACCACTCTTCCTTAGTTGAAGGAAGAATATGATGTAAGCAAGACCACTCAATCATAGAGAGAGTAAGAAAAGAAACTCATTTGGATCCTCTTGGAAGCTGCTGTGATACATGATAGAAAGAATTGGTAAGATCAGTGATAATGTATAGGTGAGAACAAGATATAAAAATAAGTAAGATATTCCACTGTACATAGAGAAAGTGGTTGTTTTAGCTAGACTCTCCTGAAGTTTAAAAAGGAAAAGCTTTTATTGGAAAAGTTATCTAGTTTATGGAAAGAAATGATAAGAACATCATGTTTGCTTTCCTATGCTTTATACCCCCTTGCTATGAAATTGTTGGATGAACATTCCTGTCACTGTTGTGTACAACACATGCCATAATGTCTATCTGGTTTTATTTTTGTTTTTCACCCCCTCTCTGAACTCACACCCTATGCCTCTGCAAATTTCTGTTCACTTGGTTTTGATTTTGAGACACTTCCACCCTGTAGCAAACTTTTGTTCCTGAAACAGATTATTGCCAAGAATAAAAGAGTCTTGTACAGCAGTGTCATGTTTTTCTCCCATATCATCACTTTCATTCACATTCCTTTAAAGAGTTTGAGTTTCTTAAAGTATTTTTGGATGGTATCCTTGGGGCAGGGTTTGGTGGCGATGCAGGTTGGGATTTCCTCTGGTTGTTCCATCCATAGCTTGTGATCCACATTGTTCTCAGTTAGGGTCTTAGACAGAGCCTCTATGCTTGCTTCATCCCCAATCTAACAAACAAAATGCAGCAATGATGATGGCTGGAAGCAAACACAAGGTGAAATATATTAAAAGAAAGAGATCAACCTGTTGAGGTTTCAGCCATAAATGCCTTTATCGAGGCTAACTTCATATCCTGAATGTTTTATTCAGTGCGAAAATTCTGATCGGGCTTCGTCATTCAAAACGGGTTTTCAAGTACACAATATTTTATGACTACCCTTATGATCGCCCTAAATCAAGGATGGACCACAACCAGTTTGCCGCAGTAACTGCATCAAATGATGGCAGTAGGCATCCCGATATACTTGAGAGAGCCCCCATCGAAGGGGTTATGATTTTGAGGAACATGAACCCACCTCAAGCACGATCTTGTGCATGGTGTCGATTGCGGTGAGGTATTCCTGGGTGTAGGGGTCATCTCTGAAGGCATGTAGGCAGGCCGTACAGGCGTGACATGCTTGAGCGATCACCGCTCCCAGCGGCCACTTCAATCGTGTTATTAGATCCGACCTTAACACGACGTACTGCACCACTGTTCCCATCTTGGTCAAAAGATCCAATCGTTCACTCACATGACAGAAAAAGAAAACGATATCGATGGGGGAAAAGGCAGGGACTGATCACTGTCACTGATACGCATTGGGTGGATACCCATGCGACAGCTTTTACGAATCTTCTCAAATTTCTCAACGTAAAGGAATTCTAAACAGGAGCAGGCACTTGCAAACATTTTTATTTATTTATAAATGTACCATTGGTTAATTGCAATTCGCATACAAGATGAAAGCAGCATCAGCACCAACTACCTGGACTGGAGAATGTATTCTCTTTGGAAAATTGAATGCTAGAAACAATGCCTGCAAAAAGGAAATTACATAGATACAATGCTTGAAATTTCTGAACCAGTGTGAAAAATAAACATATGTACTGCTGCTGCACAATGGATCTTAAATATCAAATTTAAAATAAAAACCCCGTTTATCATCGATAAAACTCCGCAAAAAGCTTGCTTGGCATGCATGCAAATGTTCATGTGTACAAGGAAACTGGTAAGCGTACAAGACCTCACTGGGGAGAGTCCCAATAAATTACCTCAATTTGCAAGATACACGAGGAGAGTGAAAAATAATAATTCCCTCTACCAGAAGTAGGTAAGAATGCAAGGGCGAAATATTCCATAACACATCAATGTTCCTTGAGTGCTGATGCATAAGGAGACATTGTGCATCAAGATTTTGCCCTTTTTCACTCATAACAGGACATGTTATGAGCTCAAAGACGTCACCAAAGAGTGTGCATGTAGATCACAACATTCACAACATACTTTAGAATGTTATATCCACAAATTTGTGAAACATGATCTAGGAATATTTCACTATGGATACAGCCTGAGTGAATAAATACCCGATTCATGATGCTCAACAAAAATGTATAGTATGGCTACTGTGCGGTCATCGTGCTCACCAAAAAAACCTATTCGAAGTCATCGATGAACATGCATCAGTTGATCGTGTCGCGCATCGGTTTCGATAAAAACAAGAGTGACTAGGAAATTCATTGAGAGGGTCCCAGGTCGTTCTGGCGAAGACTTTGCTTCTGCAGGGCGAGATGTAGCTGCTGCTGGGGCGTGAGACCGGCCAACACGGCAGGAGAGATGTTCGTCCCCGTCCCCGTCCCAGAAACGACCACGTTCCGCCGCACGTTTCCTCCTGCATCCGTCGCTCGCGCGATCTGTCCGATCACTTGAACGGGTGCGGCGTGTTTTCCTTGTACCTGAAGGCTCAGAGGAGTCTGCAGATTCGGCGTTCTGGGATTCATGTTTTTCAGTTTCTCGGCCAGTTGAGCCGTGACCGCTCCAGCATTCGCAGTTCCTTTCCCAAGCGGAATGGAAAATAATGGCGTTTGATTGGATGTTGCAACTGTGATGGCCGAAAGTGGATTCGACCCGGCGACGGACTTCTGAGCACCGCTGTCATCCAGCGACACGATGACACGAGTCACCGGTACGATTCCAGACGCGAACGATCCTTGAATCCCCTGTAAAGGGAGGAGGTTGATGTTCATGGAGCTCTGGATTGTGGTCGGTGTCGACAAGGCCGTTCCCAACAGTGAAACTGACGAACTCGGGGCTTGAATGTTTGCTTTGACTGGATTCGGATTTTCGGCACAGGGCGTTCCGGCCAACAGAGCCGAAAGACTCGGATTCGAAAGCCCGATCGAGGATGATCCTGGGCTCGTCTTCATCTGCGCGGCGTTCGAAGCCGAAAGCTTGATCGCAATCGTCGGCTGGGTTTCGACTGAAGTACTTGGGGAAGTTTTGGAAGTTGCAACTGCATTCACCGCCTGCGCTAATGCCTGAGTGTAGGATGGAAGACTCTGTGCGTTCTGCTGCTTCAACAATTGTGCCGCCAATGCGGTCTGCGGAACGTTCTGCTGCAGCAACTTCGATGCCAGCAGAGCCGAAGTCAGACTTTGGTCAACGATCGGCTTTTGATCCTCATCGGGCTGAGTCTTAATGACGTTCTGGGACGCGATGAGGAACCCGCCCATATTTTTATTGACGGCGGCAATCGGTGCTTGGAGACTAGCAATTAGCGCAGATGGCTGCTGATTCGTGGACACAGGGCTCTGATTCATTACAGTTGCAGCCTTATTTCCAGTCGACAGGAGGAGCGTGCCCAGGCCGGACTGCACGGAATGCACGACACTCCTCTGCGATGGTGGTGTTTGCGCTTTGGGCTGGGTGGTTGCAGGTGCTGGTGCGATCGGCAGCGGCGTCGTCGAACTAGCCACATTGGCTCCGGCTGGATTCTGCTGTAACATCCGGTTTCGTGCTCCTTGCGTGTAACTCACCCGCACCGGCTGTCCCGGTATGTGATGACTCATCTTTACGGGCTTTCTCCCTTCCTCGGTGAAAATCTCGGTGAATTGACTGATGTAGCGGTTGACATCGTTGCGGGTGCGGTAGTGTATTCGATCACCCTTCCCGTTACTCTTGCCCTCCATGTAGTCCCGATCGACATAGAGGTCCACAAAGTAGCTCTCGTCCAACGGGCGGTGGTAAACTGTCATCCGGGTGAGGTGAACTTTCCGGGCGACTCGTTCGCTCTCGAGCGTGTATTCTTCGACGAGATTGAGGCCGTAGTCCGGTGCCAATGCAGGCCGTTCCAGTGGACGGGCAACTCGAGACACACAACTGGCAACGGTCGAGACGTCCGGAACGTGGATTTCCTCTATGTTTACAGTATGCATGCGTGGAACACTCTCCTTCAATTCCTTCAGATCCCGGAGTCTCGGATTCTTGGCAGAGAAGAAGGAGTGGGCTTTGAAGAGCTCGGGGCATGCTGTATTTTCGTGTTTTCTTTTCCTGTTCTCTGCAGTCTGAGACCGCCTTTGAAAAACTTTTCGTAGATACGGTTGCTTGAACTTTGACCTCTGATAATGGATATCATGGAGAACATTGGCAGTCTTGGGCGAAGGGTCGAGACACAAAGGTCCCGATGTCAATAGCAACAGCTGGCTCTCTAGCGTTAGTTTCTCGTCCTCGGACCAGTCTCCGTTGCTCGTCAAGATGTTGATATCACAGATGAGGGATTGGTTGGATGGCTGAAGGAGGACCCAATGGGATTCGTAGGCATCGGGGGCTAAAACGCATCGACGATCCCGCACCTGGCAGATTACGCATCCGCCGTAGAACAGCTGACACTCACAGGTGTCCAACAGGTCTAACAGTACGGGAGGAATCTCTTCGTTGTCGATGTAGTCGAGGATTTCCACCTCGTCGTACGACAGACGAGAGGTTTCGGTCTCGACACCTTCGGGATTCCGCACCGAGATCGAATAACCTTCATTTCCGGGGTACAGGTGGAGGATGACGATCCCCAAGCGCTCCTGTTTCGCAATCATTTCCAGGATATTTGGCGGACAGGATACACACAGAGTTCGGGGATCTTGTGCAATGCCGTCCTCACTTTCATCGCTGTCGGAATCCTCTTCCTCGTCTTCCCCGTCTTCGCTTGGCTTATTGTCACCGTCCTCATCATCGGGGGAGAACGGAAGCACTGTGCGGACTCGATGGTACACCTCGAGGATCTTGTCATACATGGACTTGATCCCCGCTCCGCTGCCCTGGTTCCAGCCGCTTTTTGCGTTCCGCAGTGCCATCATTCCCGACTGGCTCCTTCACGGCCAGCCTATCTAGGGCAAACGAAGTTTGAAAGTTTAAAACATGGCGTTTACGAGTATTCTATCGTATCCCTTTTTTTCAAAACCATCAATTAGCCTCGACCGGAGCCGACTTCGAGGAGAAGGCAAATACGAGCAGATACTCTGCTTGGAAACCTAGGCGTGTACATTTACACTTTGGAGGAAAGTTTTGTCAAGTATCCAATCGGTCGTACTTTTGTACCCTTGCCTTGTCGTTGAATGCTTCTGGCAATTATTTTTGCTGGCGGGCCACTTCACGAGTTTTTGTGAGCTTCAAGGGCCGCATTCCAGTATCTCAGAAAATACCTCAATAGCACAATCATTGCTTGTCGATGCTATTCATTCCTTTGCAATAAAAACTGGTCGACAGCTTCTTCTACCGCATCGCGTTTTTCGACCATCCAGATTCTCACAAAAAAGACTGCCAAGTATAGGGTGGTTATAAAAAAAACGCTCTACCGTTTTCTATGGGAGAAGCACGGTTTCATAAATTCCACAAAAAAATTAAATTGGATACGTGATCGATATTTGACAGTTACAAGGTGTTGAAATGCTTGTCATCTTTTTTTTCAGCACCCCTGCCTAAATTGTGTAATGCCCATTTAGAGGTGAATTAAAGGTGTTTGGAGGTGGAGTATTCCACCTCAAATGAGGTAATGACCTGTGCTCGACCGTCTCAGAATGCAAGGAACTTTTCAACTTTAATTTTTTAAGGGACAGTTGGATCTAGCTGATACATGACAGAGAGGTTCACGTGTCTAAGAGGTTTTTTTTTCACTTCCGCAAGATGGCGCTGTATCCCGATAGAGGCCGCTGTTGTCGACCGGGTGACCGACGGTGATTGCAAAAAACGCTCCACCGTTTTCGGAGGGGAGAAATAATGATTTGTGTATTTGAGGAAAAAATATAGGATTGATACACTTTGTATTTGGACGTATAGGAGGTGTTGAGAAGTTTGTTGAGTTTTTCTCGGAACAATTCTTTGAACTTTGCATAGGGTATATGAGCATGAATTATTCGTCATCCCCTTTGAGAACGGTGGAGCTTTGTTGTATTCACCCTCGGTCACCCAGTCAACAACAGCGGCCTCTATCGGGATACAGCGCCATCTTGCGGAAGTGAAAAAAACCTCTTGACACGTGAACCTCTCTGTCATGTATCAGCTAGATCCAACTGTCCCTTAAAAAATTAAAGTTGAAAAGTTCCTTGCATTCTGAGACGGTCGAGCACAGGTCATTACCTCATTTGAGGTGGAATACTCCACCTCCAAACACCTTTAATTCACCTCTAAATGGGCATTACACAATTTAGGCAGGGGTGCTGAAAAAAAAAGATGACAAGCATTTCAACACCTTGTAAC